TTGAATATAATTTTTCGTAAAATAACTCAAAAAAGTTTTGAAAATATTTTCAGCAATACATTTTATTCTCCCACGAAATAGCCGAAGCATTGTCTAGACAATCGATTTCGAGTGCCAATTAGTGAGAGAAAAAGATAGATCATCAAGGGAACAACTTTGTTAACTTAACTAATGAACAACTCTTTTTTAGATTTATATTGTTTTTAAATAATGATAAACTCCTTTTTTTACGCAGCAAACTGTTAACACTGATAACAGGCAGTTTTTTTTTTACTATACAGATGCTTTAATTCTTATAAATGCTAACAAAATGTACAATAGAATAATTTTAAAATATCATTGATTAGATATTTTTAATTATACTAATTAATGAACATTTATTATAAATTGTTATCGTAACTTTATTTATATTACATTATATTATTAAAATATATTTTATTATTTTGAGATCGTAATCATACTTAATAATTTCGTAAAATACTTTCAAAATTGTGACATATTTTTATTACATATAAGCAGCATTAAAATAGCTATGTACGTATATTAGTTTATGTAACGCATATTTATTAATTATATATTTTTAGGCTCATTGGCAAAGTGCTTTATATATACATATAAATATATTTATATATACTTATATATATTTTATATACATTATATTTATTTATCGAAATGAACGTATAATTAATTAAAATATTTATTTTAATTAACAAATTTTTTTTCTAATGTATTAATGGAAAAAAATAAACAATAATAATCCACTTAAAAGATTCACTTCAATTTCGTATTTGCTACTTGATATAAATTATTAAGGAAAAAGTATTTAATAACAAGATATGTACTTTCATAAAGATACAAATTAATCTGTTTTTATTATGGTATTTTTTTGAATAGTAAGTAAAATAATTGTCATTGATAATATAAATATTTTTTTAGGAAAACTTATAATATACAGAACACTCACTTATATTTATACAGAAGAATGCAGAAATAACCTTGTTCTTTGTTCTAACATTATGAATGGAACTATTCAATTTTTAATTACATTTAATTTAAATCCAATGTTAATTTAAAAACTTCATTTCTGTTATAAAATAACAAGAAATTCTTATTTTTTTTTTTTCGATCAATCGACAAATAAGAATTTAATCAAATAAAATAAACAACTTCCATTTCTATTTACCGATGCATTTATTTACAGTAATTTTAATATTACAATAAAATAAATTATTCAAATATCATTTTAAATACATATATACGTCTATGCGTTATTAGTATTTAAATTTTTTAATTATGCTTGAAAATCAAGAAGCAACCGTAACTTTACAAATAATGATTTTCTTTTAAAACACATTTCTTTATACTTTAAAGTAACAAGTGCGTTACATGAAAAGTATGTAACTGAGAAAATGTTCAAGTTATATGAAATTTAACAAAGAATCAATTATATCTTATTTTTATATGTAAGTTGAGAAAATGTTTTCTAAACACCTACGAGCAAATATCTGTTAAAAATGTTTCTATTACATTTATATATTATAAATTATATAGTATTATTTAATGAATTTTATAGTACTTGATAGTAGTATGTAGTATATGATATCGATTTTGAATATAAAATTTAGGTAGTATTTATTAAGCTTGTTTTTCATTGATTTAAATGTGCATTTAAATAAACGCTGTTACATTATATACTTGCATTAAGCAGATTCAGTATTATTACTCAAGATTGCCTTATTAATTAGAAAAATTACTTATGAGTAAGATCATAAAATACGAAAAATAATATCAGTAATAACATTGTTATACTTATTTAATGCGTCAATATTAGAGAGGGGCACTTTATACATCAACATATAATATATCAAGTTGATCTATTGATATTATCTTTGATTCAGTTGATCAAATAATATCTCCCTTTGGTACCAATTTATAAATTAATATTGTCCATAATATAAATTATAAATACCAAACTCATTACTATTGAATACATAGGGCTAGTTATATTAGATTGAATTTTTTAGATTAATATGAAATACTCTTTCTATATTATTAGAGTTTATTTATTTTGAATAACCAATGTAGTACGAATGAAATTTAATGTAGTACGAAACAAAGATGTGAAACACTACGCAGAAGCCGAACCCTCTAAACTAGAATGATATGACTTCGATTATACGAAAAATCTCTGATACTTCAAAAGCTTACCATCTTTTATAGAATTTTAAATAATAAGAAATAAAACATTTAATAAACTGATATATATATATCATAAATATAAACTTCATAAAATTCATTAACTATCAGACAAAATTACATCAATTTTATCGACAATAGATTACATCATTATACAAGTACATATTACATCAATATACAATAAATTAAAGTACAATAGAGAATTTTCAAAATCATTTGTTTCTAATTGAATATACGTAATTAGATAAATAAATAAAACAAAATTTTTGTAATTTAAATTAAATTTTTTGCAGTATATTATCTATTTACATATTAAAAAATACATTAATTCTATGTGATAAAATACAGCAATATTTAATGTCTCATATGACAATTACATTTTATTGTACGTTTTTTTTTATAACATAAATAAAATTTTCATAATTTTCTTGTATATTTCATCATAGAATTATTAATTGTAAGTAAAAATATTAAAGTATAGTAATAATTTAATATATAGTAAGATTTAATATATTTTTAATTAATTTTTTTATGTAAATAAATTTGTAATATTTGACAATACAGATTAAAAATTGAATTTATATTTAGTTTTTAAAATATATATTAAAAATTATAATGTCAAATTGAATTTTTTTCTCTGAAAATAAATAAAAGCTTTTTAACGTACAAAAAAATGAAATTAAAAAGTATCATATTTTATTTCTTTATATATTTAGATAATATATTACTAATTACTTCAATTTTGACCAATCCAATAAATACTGGAAAATATAAATATAAATTTTTAATTTCTAAATTAACTTTTGAACTCTTTATTAATTATAATTTAGTTATGTATATATTAGTGCTTATAAGTATATATATAAGTGAAAAATATTATTAAAAATATTGATTTGTATAAAATGCATGTTAAAATGTTATATGTGAGTCTGTGTGTGTGTGTGTGTGTGTGTGTGTGTGTATGTGTTTTATAATTATTATTTATATTTCTTATTAGTATTTAATATTCGTACTATATTATATGACTTATATACTATATGACTTATAATACGTATATATAATAATTAAAAGCAAAAATTGAAATGTATCTGAACAGCTTAGAGTAACTTGTATAAATAATTTAAAAATATTACTACTTAAATTGTTTAAACATACTAATTAAATATGTGGTTTTAACAAAATCATTTATTCTTATATTTAAATTTTTTTATTTATTATTAAATAAACCGTGAATATACGAGGAAAATCAATGTAAATAAAAATCGAAATTCAAATATGATCATATATGATAATATATTTAATATTTCTGAGTTTTTTTCATAAGAAACCGAATTTGGTACTTATTTACTGTAAAATATATATTATTAACGATAGTAGAAGTAAAATATAAAAATACATTACTATTTCTTATAATATAAATATACAGAAGAAAACTAAGCAAGTCTCTATATTAAGTTAGTTTATGGTGAAGGGATTGAATGCATGTAAATCAAATTTCTTTACATTTAAATAAGCAAAATATTTTTCTATATTTTTCTTCAAAATTATGTATTATATATATTTTATTTTACAATTAGATCATATTCTCCTGTCCAATGTATGTGTAAATGCATGTAAACTGTCAGGAGGCCGTGAATTTTAGAATTAAACTAGAATAGAAAAGCAATACTATTGTGTTGAAATGGTAAAGAGACTGATTTTTACATATTGCAGAGTTCAATATTAAATATAGTTAAAAGATTCACTAAAATAATAGCATTTATGACATCATTTTGCGTTATACTGTATTAAATAAAATTCTAGTATTTAATTTGGCAAAAGGTTTTTTTTTTTAAGCTGGAGGTACTAACATGAATGAAAGCCGTGATATTATTATTCTGTTTTTCTATCTACTATAATAATAAATTACTAAATAATAATTTGTTTGTATGCCTTTTTTTTATGACTTTTTATGACGGCTTTTATCATTTTTTCATACATGTAATTATATCATGTATTATTATCAATTCTTGTATTATTACTTTTAATTATTTAGATATTAATTGCTTAGTAATAATAAGTAATTAATCGTATAATTATTATTAATTAACTTAGTAATTAATCAGGCTAATTTTTTAATTCTCGGAAAATGAAAATGGTAAATAATAGTTTAAATTAAATACATGTATTTAGATGCATTTACCCACATACATAGAGTTTCTATTAATATGCATATTAATTAATGTATTACGAATTTATGAAAATTTATATAATTAAAATTAATATATAAATATAAACATTATTTTATTATTTACAGTCACGGGAAAACACGGAAAATAATTAATAACTAAAAATAAAAATAGAATGTCAATGAAATAAGTGTTTAAAGAATTAGCTTTACCATTACGTATTGGATATAATTAATGATAATAAAATAAACTAAATCTGTTCTTTCTGTTTCAGATGAGCTAGATAAAATCGAAAATAGGATCAATAAGCTTCATTAGGATATGAAATCACAATGGGTAGTCAATAATATAAAAATTCTTTTCTCATTGGAAATTGCAGACCAATCATTATATTTCCATAATTCCTTTGGTCTTGTTATTTCTTGTATTTGACTTAATAAATAAGCACTACAATTAAAGTGCAATATTGAATAATATGATAACAACCATCATAGCTTTGCAAAATAACAAAAATAAGTATGAAAGAACAAATTGTATAATTAATGAATCGTATACACAATAATTTAAAGACTAATGATATTTCAATATGATTTAGGAATTTTTAAACGAATCACTTTGCTTTTCGTTAGATTTTATTTATGTTGAAACTGAAAAATAATAGGAACTTTTAATCAAGTTCTTCGTCATGTAACACGAAACGACAGAGTATTGTAATTAATGTGCTATGCTTTAATTGGCTTATTTGGACGTATGCATACGTTCTCGATTAAAATATCACATTACTGTTCTTATATTTCACTTGATATCAGTAATACAAGTCAATTATAGATAAAGCAATATGAGCAACTAAATAATGACGTAAAAGGAGAAAACTATTTGAAATTTGATAATACATTAAAATACAATTACTCACAAATAAACGGTAAAAAAAATATATAAAAGATGAATATAAAGGAAATATATAGAAGCATGTCTCTGTGCTGAGATAAGGAGTTGTATCGCATAGTAAACGAAAGTAAAAAGAAAAGAGAAAATCAACTAGGAAGCTACAAATATGAATACGTCGTATCTTTTAGGAGAGGATGAGGAATGGGGTCGCAGATATTATTTTACTTACTACAGCGAATTCGGAGATAGAAAGGGAATCAGCGGCATCGAGGTAAATAACTTGTTCCTTATATATCTTAAAATTGACTTATAACGAAAACATTGTCTATTTACGTCTATTAGATTTAGAAATTTGTGTATATATCTTCTTTTAATTCAATTTATCTTGAGTTTGCCATTCATCAAGATAATATCACAAAACTAGATCTGGGAAAGTATATCAAATGATACAATATTCTTATCAAATCTCAAAATAAAGTTTAGCTATGTTAGTATCTTTCTGACACTCGAATGATAATTGAGACTGTATCTATTATTCGTCTTCTTCGCGTTAAAGTAATGTTATTTTAGCATATTGCCTAATTTAATTTAATTCTATTACTATCGTTTTACATATTTTTTTTGTATATCCAATCCTACTTTTCGAATACCTCATAATAAAATGGTAATTACAATCTCGGTTATATCATACATTAATTTACAGCTATAATGATGATAAGATATCAATGTTTAAAAAATTAAATTTAAATACGATTAGATTAAATAGAATATATTACTAAGTAAATATATTACTAAATTGATTACTATTAGTAATTCTACGATAATTTGTATAAACTATGAACGGCATTCATTGTTTTCTGTACAATTGATAATGTGTCTTTTGCTACTTTGTATATATATATATATATATATATATATATATACATGCATGTATGTATTTATGAGTAAAGAAGAGAAAGATGAAAAACTAATTCCAATTTGATGTGTAAATTTAAGGCCAATGAATGCTTGTGTTAATTTTTTAAATACTAAAAAAATGAGTTAAATACTGAGTTAAAAATGTATTAAAATACTGTTTAAATTCATAAATTTTTTAAGATGAATGTCACACAAGAAGTGTAAGATAAATATAAAATTTAAACTGTAATTACAAGAATGTAACAGGCAACAGACGAAGAAATAAAAATACAGACTAAATTACGATAAATACAAAAGTAAGTGTTTAAAAGTTTGAAAGATTGAAGTCGCCATTTTCACATTTCGTTCAATAAATTATTTCGGAAGAATGCCCTATATTTCAAAATTTGCTAATGATAAATCATAAAATATTCTCTTACAATGCTTGAAAATTAATGGCCAATGCTTTACCTTCGTTCTGTTTGTCGAAGTACACTTGAAAATAATGATTTTTCAATATATAAACAAGTATACTAACTTCCATGGTTCTATAATTCCCTCATTTAAATTACTTTTGTCCATTGACAGTTTTTTTATTTATTTACAATAATCATATTCTTAAGCTGAATATATTTTTATTTTATATTTCTATTTAATATTCTTAATTACAACTTAACTTAATATATTTGTATTTAAATAAATCTCTATAGTATCTTCATTTTCTTTATTTTATTGATCTTTTTATTTCCGGATACTTTGAGTATTTTGACAAGGATTTACCGACCCTGTAATTCATTGCAATCATGTAAAGAAGCTTTACGAAGTCTCTTTCATTCGTATATTCATTAGTACTATCATTATGTACAATAATTCTAGTAATTTACATCAAAGAGCGCCTGTAGTCAGATTTGACTTTCAGAATGACATAGTTCTCCAGGCCCCTAAATGCATCAAAGTATTTTAATAATTTTGACTAGTACGCTTAGTAATAAAATTATATATAAAAATAATATAGACCTGATTATCTTATATTTTTAAAATAATGTAATTTAAAATATTGAAAAACTCATAAGCGTTTTTTCTTTTTATATTTATTAATCATATACATAATTTTTCATAAGAATTGTTTTTATTTATAAATAATATATTATCGATATTATTTGTATTCAATATTTATTAAATACTTGTAAGTACATTAATTATAATGGTCACACGCGATGATAGAATCTAATTTTCATTGGTTTTCAATATTCAAATTTTCGTTAAAATCGTGAACAATGTGAAGTGATGATCAAGCTATTTATAATGAATTAATGATTCATATAGTAAAATGTTTATATTATAAAATGTCTAATTAATACATTATATTCATTATTAAGATTTTATGAATTTTTTCGTGTAAATTAAACAACCGATAGAGAAATGCTTTATTTTTGTTCTATTATTATGAATAATATTAAATTTCTATTGAATGTAATTTTGAAACTCATAATACTATTTCATTATTACTTAAAAAATTAATTAATTAGTCCTGAAAGCTTGTTCAAACGCATTCTATAGTATAATTATCTGGAGAATATTCTGAACATAATGATATTGAAATTAAGCAAATCTTTTCTTATTATTATTTATCGAGATACTACATCTTTATTATTTAATTATAATCTTAATTTACTCTTTTTATATACAAATTTTGATTTTCCAAAAAATTTATATGTTTAGACTCATTATTTATATATTTAATATTACACTTGATGTTTTTCTAATCAGATAATGTAAGATAAAGAGTCTGTATTTTATAAAATAAATTTCAAAATATTCAGACTATTGTTTATACTATCGTTTTTAGTCGAAAATTTATGTACCGAATGAAATATTTGTTAAGTATTTTAGATTTATTCTCAAATAAATGGAAAAAATATAATGAATATTTGTTTAAATTGACTAATCTATTAAAATTCATTTTTGTATTTGCCAATAATTATGAAAACGCAGATCATCAAAAACAAGGAAAAATCAATACTTGTAATTTATAAAAAAAAAAACCTCATGCATAAGATCATATCTTTTATAAAATATTTTAATAAAATTTTATGAAAATATTAATTTATTCAAAATCAAAGTGAAATTTATTTATCGTTCATTAAATATATTATTTATTTTACTATTTTTACTTTTCATGCATCTTATTGAAAAATTCGTATAAATAAATAGTAGTTATTTATTTAATTACTAAACATAACAAAACAAATTTAAATAAACATGAAATACATCATTAATAATGTTTGAGCTTTTCAAATGAACTCGAATAACGTCCTAACACAATTATTAAAACTTGCTTTTTATAATAAGAGAATCTTTAAAGTATAGTCATAACAGAATCTATATCATTCATAAATAATCCATGATTAAATTTAATGGAAAATATCTAAATATTTGGTAATATTTATATATTTAACTTTTTATGATGACGAAGACATAATAATTATAAAATAAAATTACATATAATAATTATAAGTTTCAATATTATGCTATTTTCATACACATAAAGATATTAATATAGGTAATATTGTTAATATTGCAATATTACTCAATTACAAAAGTTATTCACAAGGATATGTAAATTTAATGTTCGTAAAGTAACGCTTCTTTATCCATTGGAGGTTTGGATTTATATGACAGGTTATTCTGCTGGCGATAAGTTTTGTGGTGGCCGTTGGTGCAAACCTCATCATCGCCGTTTGTGTCCTCGGATACCGGGAGATGCGAACTCCTACGAACCTGTGCCTCGTGAACCTTGCCGCGGCTGATCTTTTATTCGCTCTGGGTGTTCCTGCGGTCGCATACACAAGACTCACGCACTCTTGGAAATTGGGCGAAATCGTTTGCCGTATGTTACCATATTCGCAAGTGAGTAAACTTTTCCTCGATAAAAAAAATGTGTATAAATATTATGACACTTCATCTAATGTTTTTTCTTCCTTACAAATATTATCTCCGCGTTTGTTTTTGTAAAAGAAATTTCTTTTAAAAATTTTATCATGGGAAATTAAAAATATAATGAACTGAAAGTTTCATTATTAGCAAAGAAAAAAAATATATTAATGACGTGTAATAGAGTGATTTCTTAGTATCATAAGAAATTTTCTTTTTCATAAAAATAATTTAAAAGTAATCTTATTTCATTAAAGATTATCATTTGATAATACTTTCGATGCCTCGGCTCCATTTCTTTATTTTTTAATACACTATTTATAATCGAGTACACTTGATTTTTTTAATAATTACTCAAAACGACGGTTTTCGGAATTACGATCTTCTAGTTTTTTAATCTCTACCTTTAATTAATACACTACAACAAAATGTATTTATTTGTATACAAATACTTTTTATAATAATTTTTTTAAAATAATTTAATTTTAATGTTTTCATATTCATATTCATAATGATAATCAGTTTAACAGAAATAATAGAAAAATGTTAATGAATATGTAATTAAAAGAACGTAATGTACTTGATAATTGTAATTTACTGAGTTTTTAGTAAATAATTATTTTTAATATCAGAATTTTGGTTAATTTTATTGTTAAATTATATTTCTAATTTCATAGAAGAATAAATAATGCTCATGCTTGTTTTATGAAACACAATGATAAAATTCTGCATAATTATCCGACGGAAGTGTAATCTGCTTATACGCTAACATATAAATATATTTGGTCCTAAGATTATTTTTAGTTATCAACAAAAATTTAATACTATTAAATGACAAATAATAGCAGATAAAAAATTTTTCTTAAATAGTAAAACACAATAAATTATATAATTGAGCGAAAACTAAATTATATTCTCTAATTTAATAATTGTTGTGATAGTTGTTAATAATAATAGATTAATTATATAAAAAATTAAGTATAAAATGTAAAATAAAGTTTATAAATCTATTTAATGATTTTTAACAAACGGAATTATCCTTAGAATTTATTTATTTTTGTTGTAATTGCAACAAAATCTTAATTAGAAAAAAATGTTTTTTATTTACTTTAGAATATACTTAAAAAGGTTTTTGTTTACTATATTTAGTCCTGCAGTAGCCGTTTGAAATTACTTCACAACTAATTTTGTGATATTGATTGCAGTCTATATTTTTCATTTCAGTTAATATTTTTCAAAATTTGAGCTTAAAATAATATTAAATTTAACTTAAAATGATAGTTTTCATAATTTTATTATATATAAAATAATTGCTTAAAATACATCTATACGAAATAACTAAATAAGAGTTTAACTATTAAAATCAGTTCGTCTGTGGATTTGTGCTACTCTGGACATTAACGTTGATATCGATGGATCGGCATCGGTGTCTTGTTGTGGCCCCCTATCGGAGCGGCCTAACTTGCACAAAGGTCGTAGCTGCTAGCTTCGTCACCTGGACCATCGCAGCATCCCTCTTTCTGCCAACAGTATTCTGGTTCAAGCCAAAGGTCGGCGTTCTTATTTTATACTCTTCATATTTATTTCTCACAGCTCTAACATCCATTAAAGAATTTACCCTTTTTGTATGAAATTGTATTTAATAATTTAATGTAACTTTTATTATCTCGTGGTGTTAGACATAATATAGTTAATTTCGTATATATAGATTTAATATATTTTATGGACGAAACAAATCTTGTATTTTTTTTTTCATAAATAAAATAAATGTCTAGAGAATATTTCTCTATGGCAGTATTTATGGATGTATTTTAATTAAATTATACATTCGAACTGTAGTACTAAGTTTATTTGGAATTCATGCAATTAAACGCAATATTAAGGGCACTATTTAAATGCCTCATTGTTTTTAATATTTTTTTTTTTTTTTTTTTTTTAATATTTTAAATAACCATACTTAATTAAATATAAAATATTCTTTGACTTTATACATTACTTATGCCTTAAATACATAGATGTTTATATTATAGAATTATTATTTTCGCGTTATAAAATCTTCCAATTATATTATTATAAAAGCTTCCTAATGTCAAATTTCTTCATTTGTTTTCTTTTTGCTTATTTATCTTCATTTGAAAAGCTTTATGGAAAAGCAATAAGAGTCGTCCCTTACCTTTCTCATAAATTCCAGGAATATTTCACTATAACATTAAATAAATTTTATTCAAATTAATGAAATTTATCTTCTGAATATAATATTTAGCAATAAATAAATGTCGACAGTTTAAGAACAATAAGTTTAAGAAGTCATAGTTTCTTTTAAAATTAATTTCCATTATACCGAAGATGGAAGTCAGTTTTACAAAATAAAAATATTTTTCTATTTCATCTCTGTTCATAAAACATTGCAGTTTTCGGTAAAACAATCCAGCGGATTCCTTCAACTCTACTGAAATCCTAAACAAAAGAGAAATTTTTTCATATTGAAAAGTTATCCGAGAATCGCATCATTGTTCCAGGGAAAAAAGTAAAACAATATCGCGCGATCTGCCTTGCATAATAGTAAAAAAAGGTGAGCCAAATGCAAGTCGACTATATAACCATTGCGCTCCCATGTTACAGGAGGTTTTGGATGGCTCGACCATATGCACTCTCGTTTTTCCCCGAAGTGAAATACTCAATATATCGCTTTGTTTTACAATTCCAATAATCGTAATTGCCTGTATCTTGCCCATGAGTTTGCTAGTCTATCATTATCAACGGATCTTTCAGAGAATACTTAATACGAGAAACAGATGGGCCGTCTCATGCGTAGCTCAGGTTAGTATTTTTGTTATTTTTTTTACAAATCTCTCCAAGCATGACCATGCATCATTATTCATCATTATCATTATTTCGCATAAATGTAAATTTAAAAACTTACACTTATACTGATGATTTTTTTTTTAGTTTTAATTACGAGTATTCGTAAATTCGATTGATAAATTTTATTATTTTTTAAGGACTTGCGAATTGACATTTAAAGCGTATCTCTGTTTTTATATTATTAGATATTTATTTTATAATTTTTTAAATTAAGTTATCATCTATAATAGAGAAACTTGCAAACAAGATGTTTTTTTCTTTAGGAAGAAAAGCTCTTATTATTATATAGTTATATTACATAGCTCTTATTATACTTTCTTGGACAAATTAATTGTACTAAAATAAGGTTCCTTAATCACACGCTGACTTCAGGGTTTGGAGACGGATTCGAATCGTCGACGGGACTCGGAGCTATCGGTAATTGGGATTTTAGTATTGTGGGCCGGTCGAAAAACATCCTCGGCTTCGGTGACGGGCAGTAGCGGTGTCGTGAATCGCCAAGGTCGCACTGGTAGTCTGTCCCAGCACGAGGAGATCAGACTGCACAAGCACCTACGAGTTGTGCGCATTCTCCTACTAAATGTCATGGCGGTACTCGTCATGTGGCTGCCAATAACCGTAGTTATGATGCTTATTTACTTGGACGGTCGGAGACCCACCGAGGACACAAATTTCTTTTTAAGGTCATTGCCTTTTTTTACTCTGTGATTATTTACTTGGCCTTAATAAAATTAAACAAATTAAGCAACTATATATGATTGCACTATATGCAAGAAGTAATTAATTCGTACGAACATTATTTAATAAAATTTAAACCAAATACTTATCTTCTTCATTTTTTAAATTTCACCTTCAATGATAAAATATGTAAAATATGTTTGTTGAATAAATGAGCAATACTTTGAAAGTAGCATATAGTATTAATAATCATTATTATAAAATATATATATATATATATATATATATATACATTATCCAAAAATTAATTATTGACTAAGTCGTGATAATAATAATAAAATGTTGATAATAAGTTCAGGTGCTAATATTTCGTGTACGCATAAATGCTTTGAATAAATATTAATCACAAAAACATAAATAAACACATTTTTAAGCTATAAATAAAATTTCTTATATATAACGTAAATTGTAATGATTGGAATTACTTTGATCTTAGATTATTATTTATTTTTTTGTGGTAAATTCGAAGAAAAGCAAATGGAGAATTGATAGTTTAAATTGACGTTTAATTTTATTGGCCGAGCTGTAAGTGAAATAAGACTCGTGAATCCTATCTATTTTATATACGTGACCGATTAGCGCGAGCCGGGAGGTAAAAATCAACGCTCTTCTTTTAGATCCCATCACTTTATCTGGGCACTGGTGATAGCGCAGTTCAACACGGTCGTGAATCCTCTCCTTTATGGAGTGTTTTCGGAAAACTTTCGCTCGCGCTTCGGCAAACTTTGGAAACGGGATCCGGGTGAGAATGTTGGTAACGCCAACTGTACAATCAGTGCTGAACGCGGTAGTGGCCATTATTCCAGGAGTGCTAAAACCAATAACACCAGCAAGTCTTTAGAGGCGCTTCAAGATAGACTCGCCATTAAAACATCAGTCAGTGTCTTTCGAAGCACCAACTACTCATCAGCGAAACCCACTAAGCCTTCCAACAGCACCATCCAAAGTATCACCGAAATTTCGACGTCCGAACGACTTTAATCCCTGTTCTCTCGTACATATAACAATAAGTCTCGTAAGCTACTCTACTGCCACCATTTCATTAAGTAATGGCAATACAAGCTTTAAATATAAACAAATTAAAAAAAAAAAAAAAACGTAGAAAAAGACTTTTGAAAAACGTTACTTGTCACATTCACATTTGGGCAATTTAAAAATATAATAACATGAAATTTTCATAAAATTACAAGTTTTAATTTGAATGAGAGTTTAAAATTAAAAAATTTTTTTTTAAATTATTTAAAAAAAAATATTTTCTATATCAATTTATTTTATGCTCGGAAAATGCAAATCAGAATAGTAATTAAGAATAATTCATGCATTAATTAATTTATATAGAAATGTAAATGTATAAAAATAAAATATTTGGAAACATAATGCCTACAGTCAACTGACATTATAAAATATAAATTACATTAAAAAATTGTTTTTAATTAAAGAAAATAGCATTCTTGTGATATAAAAAGTCTTTCTAAAACATTATAAATAAATTATTATTTAAGACTTTTCTATTGTTGAAAAAATATATGATTTGCCTATTTTCCTAAAATATAGAATAATCATTATGTACCATAATATTAATTCCACATACTAATATAAATAGATTAGTAAGATTTTTATCAATTAACTATTTAATTGATTAAAAAGCAAATTTTATGACTCTCTTAAATCATACTAACTATGAAATTTTACTATAATAAATATTAATTTTTAATTCGCATGACATATGTTATTTCAATTCATTATTTTATACATAAAAAATTTTTTTAAATTATAGCATACTATCACAGATTTACCGAATATAATCAGTGAATTATTTTTACTTGTAGAGCATAAATTGTTATTAACTAGAGTACAATATTAATTTTAATTTCTTAGAAAAACATTATAATAAGTTTTATTTATAATTATACGTGCTTCATCATTTGATCTCTCTCGTAACAACGTTTTATGATATATTAATTCTTCACAATGACGATGGAAATATATTTCCCTTTCCTTGAAAACAGATTTATTATAAATACTTTCAAATTTTGTTAATATACTGTGACATTAAATTATTTATTTAAAAAGAACAAAAATTATTAATAGAGTATGAAAATTTAATTTTTATTTTTTATATACAATTTTTTCAATAAATCGTTTTGAACTATTTGTTCAATCTCTTCAATAATAATGGAATTTTTGAAAGTTTAAGCGACAATAAAAAAATTAATACAGAAAAGCCATTTTAAATCAGTAATTTTTATGAAAATCTCCCGAATTATGTACATACAATATAAAATTCAAAAGCTTTATTATTACCATATTTAATGCATTACGCTTATTAATTTTTTCACATTATAATAAAGTACATTTATTCTTATCTTTGTTAGTCAGAATATATAACTTTTATAAGTCGCGCAAGAAATTACGATGATATAGAAGAGTAGCATTAGGACTGTAGATTCAATGTTCGTGTGAATTATTATATTGTTTCTAATTAAGTTATCCAAATGATTATTTAATTTATAAAAATAATATTGCAAAGAATTATTTTATAAAATTAAGAAAATATCTACTTCAAATAATTCTTGATTGGTAATTATTAACTACTGATAATGAAAAATATATATTAATATAAAGATAGTGTGCTATTAATATTTCAACTAAATAAAATTAAAATCAAATCTGTGTTTCAAATCTGTTATAAGCATAATATATATTTAGTATTATGAATGTGTTATATCTGTAAGGATAAATATTTCATAGAAATATAACTTAATATAATTTAAAAAGTTAATGAATAAAATTTTTTTTAATTCTACTTTTACCGATAATTAAATTTAATAAAACTAAAAGTACATTTAGGAATAAATTAAATAAACTAATATCATTGAAAATTTATTAAAAGTTTTCAAAAATTATGTACAATGAATCCTTTTCAATTTTTTAACATTGCAGATATATAATTATTCAACTCCTGGTTGAAGAAAAACAAGATATAATGTACGATCAATTTTGGTACATTAAAAGTTTTTTTTATCAATATCATAGAATGTTAATTTACATATTTTATCTACGATAAGTAGGAATAAAAACATTTTTAAATAATATTTTAGGCAGATGTATTTGAAATGACATTTATATGTAAATCAAATGTGAAAAACTGTTATTAATAAGATTTACATAGAATTACTATGGTCGATTGCAATATATGGAAACATATTACCATACAATATTCGTAAATATAATATAATCGTAAATAAATAGTTTCTTTAGGACATCAGAAAATGAAAATACTGATTAAGAATTCAAGTATTTATGGACTGAATCATAGTAGTATTAAATGTAAATATATATGTAAACTATTATAAAAAAAAATTTGTATTTGTTTGAATATTGAAATAAAAAATTCCTCGATATTAAGAAAATTGTATTTTATTGAAACATATTTACATTGTAAAGAACTACATAATGTAAGAATTTTTATATTGATGTATTTTATTTGTATATTCTAATTTTTGATTTATTATAATATTTATATATTATAATTATTGTGAGCTATAATTTTATTATAGCTGGCAATAATTACAATAATATGTATTTTGTACTACTTTAAATCAATTTATATTATTTTATATGTAATTATTAGTATTTATTATCGTTCTTATTAATGCTATACTTTTCATCACGTTGACTTTAATTGTGATCGCTTAAAGGAATAAAATATTAAACATTCGATGTTACACAAATTTTTAATTGGAAAATAACATTAGAGAAATTTATTGATTTTCGTCTTCATGTATTTCTTCAATTATTAACCTAAAATATATAAATAATATAAACTTTCTAATAAAATAAGTTATAATTTATGGAAATGTAATGCTAAGTAATAAGTTATTAATTTTAGACTCATGTAATAAAATTTAGTGATTGACAAAACTGTGCTTGGAATAATTATTCAATGGAGAATATACTAATATATCTATGTGTCTGTGTCCATGTGTGACTCGGTGTTTCTGTGTGCGCGCGCGCGCACGTGTGTATGCGTATATATATGCACAACTTTATCAATCAGTAAATTCTTGGGCTGTATTGATAATGTATACCTTGTTGTCTTCAATTTATCAGATGCCCTTAATTTATTAATTGCGGAAAGTGCAATTTGATTCATCGGATCTATTCTTAAAACAGTATCATAATCGTTCAAGGCCTGAAACAATTTTTAATGTTAAATTTCTTTAATTAATAATTTCATATATAACGTCAGACATAAAAAAAGAAGTGATGAAAACTCTTTTAATAATATGAAATATTAAATAAGAATAGTATGAAAAGGCTCGGAGAATTTTCTTTTTTAATTAAATAATTTAATAAAAGTAAATAAACAAAGCAAAACTTATTGAATAAATGTTGAAATATGAAAGTCACTCCTTTAAGTATTTGATGCCTTGTACACAAATTACAAATTACTTATCAAATACACATTAATCTGATAATCAGATAATAAAGATAAATAAAAATAAAAATAAATTGTTTATTACTTTCGTATTTTTGCGGAGATGTTCATAAGCATGTCCTCGGCGAAGGAGGGCTTTCAAGTTCATGCAATCCGTAGCCAGTACTGAATTACAATCGTCTATAGCTTTCTCATAATTCTTCAATTTTATATCTGCAATTCCAGGCATTACATATAAAATTAGAATAATTGAATATTTGTAAAATAAATAAAATGTTCGGAAAATTTTTTTTATAAAAAAATAATTTTTTACAACTTTTTCTGTAAAATTATAAGATTTTACTGTTATAATTGTGTTCTATAATTAAGATAACATAATGATGACTAATTGGCTGCAGATATGATCTTGGGGTGCAGATGTAAAAAAAAAAATGTCTCGAGAGAAGTGTTAAAATAATAAATTGTTCAAAGATATTTTATATTTTATATAGAGACCTATACATTGAGTAATGATAATGTATTATATGCCTACTGACAAACGTGAATTTGTGTCTGGAACTGTCGTGGCACACACAAATAGCAGCTTCCAAGTGAATCTGTTAATAAGATGAAAAAACTAACATCACCAGGACCAGGAATGAGAAAACACCTAATGAGCAAAGGCAGTTACTTGCCTTTAAGTCTTTTATGTCGCGTGCAAATGTTTCTTCACATTCCACGCATGTTTTACTTTAACAGTCTCTAGTCTTGTATAGCGGTAGTATTGTTAAATATATTTTCTTTGGTTATTTTAGGTGCAAGAGATTGATTGCATTCGTCAAATTCCCGATATGAAACCACAAAAACTTTTATAGAATTGTTCGTTTAAAATGGAAACAAGTTAATGGATCTCTCACGCTGAAAACAATTACTGAATGAAAAAGCATAAATACCATTTATATCCTAAATAGCCATTTATTCATTTACACAACGGTTACATTTTGTGTTTTTTTTTTATTTTCACTCGAACGAATGCGCTCTTTTCGTGAAAGATTCACGCTTGCAAAGAATGAAAAGTATAGAAAGCTCACACATGCATACTTACGAGTCATGGCACGATTATTGTAAACATTAATGTCACAACTCATGGCGATGCTTGTATTATAGAGCTGTAACGCCTCCTCGTAATCTTTAGCACGAAATGCTTCGTTGCCTTTTTCTCGTTCTTGCATGGCCATTACGCTCAACTCCGTCCCCGTTAACAGAGCTACGAAATAAATAAATACTATCTTTTCTTTTTCTCTCTTTCTCTCTCTCTCTCTCTTCCTCATATACGAACATTCCTTCATTGACAATATATTTATTTTCCCGTAATTGTTTAGTTGGTATTTAAAATCACCATTAATAAAAAACTCTACCCTTTTTCATTATACTTGATAACTTTCAAAATTTTTATTAATTTTGTATAAAAATTTCCTTACTTCAATTTAGCCATATTATATTTACTTTATGGCGTATCAAATAATACGACCTACGATAGCTAAATACTTTATTCTAGTCACTATGTCATATTAAATTTCTTTCAGCTGAAAAACTAAAACTCATGTGATTTTAATATAACTAAACATTTGTATTCAGACAATATACATTTAATAGGTCTAATCCATTTAAAATTAAACAAATTTTCTAATAAATTGTAAATTGCTAACTTTCTGCCTATTTTCTCAATTGTTTAATCTAATTAATTTCCTTAGGGAAACTTTAAATTTTTTATCTCGTGTACTAAAGTTTTCAATGTATTAAAGTACTACATGTTTAAACTGGTAAAACTTTTCTTTAAAACCCATTCTAGCAAATACCGTATTTTTAGATAAAAATGTAAAACAATATAAATAAATATATAATATTTATTATAAAGTTCGTGAAACATTAATCATTTCAATATTTATATTTTCAATATATCGTTTGTATATATAATCAAGTACTTTTTACATAATGGTAGAAATATAAGAATTCTAAATAAATAATAAATAATAAACATAAATAATTAATAAATAAAGAAAATTTTCTTTTTACAAATGTATCAAAATGATACTCGTAGTGTTAAAAATGAAAGGTAAACACGTATTAGACAACAATAGCTTTAATATATATTTACATTTTTCAATAATTGTTTCCTTCCTTGACTTCAATCTATTGACCTTCTGCTGTTCCTGAAATCTTTTAGCTGCAATTTTCTCTTGCTCTTCGATTAAATCCATGCGATTCAACTCAGTGTCAGCATCGTATTTGCTCCAACCGATATAATCACAAGCACTTATTCGCTTTCCTGTTTTACTATTCATTTTAGCTGTAGACTTATTAAGTATTGACTGTAAAAAGAAAATGCCAGATCGTTTACAATCTAAAATTCTTTTGTAAATTTAACTTGCACGTAGAAAATGAAAAACTTTTTTTTTATATTAATAAAAGATCGAGCTTCTAGAAACTAACCAATGCAAAATTATTAAAGTGCATTCATGAATAATGAAGGATTCTATCTGATAAATAAATAATATTCTATCTAAATAAATCTAAAAAAAAATAATGTTGACAGCTTTCAATAAATAATTTGAACATTTACAGTAAAATATAGCATAGCCACTCATCAAATGGTAATTACAATGAACTTGTTAATATTATAAAATTAACATTTATTCTTATGGCCTTATAAAAATTGAGAGCTTACGAATGAAAAAAAATGCCACCCTGCATGTATCTCACGTAAGATTCTCTTTCGTGTTAAATATAAACAATATAATAATGCTTCTTTTTTCTTTTTAAATACGTGTGGATGGTAAATTAAAACGAGAATGTGCACTATGAAACTTGCAAACCTGAATTGTCGTCCTGATGGAGGGTTGGGGCAACGGCTGCTCGCTAACGCTCATTCGTTCGTCAACGAGATCTCGCTCTCGAAGCCTCATCTCTTGCATCCAATCATCAACATCAGTCTCAAGCTCTTTGCGTTCCTGCGGGTCGAGCAAACTTTTGGATACGATGGGTTTCACCACCCGTAGTATCTGGCTGTCAGGCTTAACGAGAGTCAACCGCTCCTCAGCGAAGCTTGTAAGATGCGGATACACTCCCTCTTCCCCTGATCTATACCAGTAAAATCAGTTCTTCATCTCTGTCATTTTTTTTTTCAACAGTCTCCCCTTATACGTCTAAGATCATCGATGATGACTAATGTTTTCTTATAGTATTTAAAATAGTACTAATTGATAAATATCATTGAAACCATCAATGTTGGATAACGTTCGTTAATAATTAAAAAGATTTTAATGTGAGAGTTGGTAGCCATATTACTCTTTTTTTTCGTTAATTAACGCAATCGGTAAATTATCCGAGTCTATAAAACAATATTATATATCTCTTTGCGTAGGCTTGACAATTAAATATTAAATATTTAGGTAATTAGCACTTTCAACATTTCTATTTGTGGGTTAGATACAAAGCATTTAAAAATTAAACTTTAAAAAAACATTGTAGCCATTACTTTAATACTTATATATTTTATTTATGCAATTTTCATGGGTAACCAGAAAATATAAGAACATATTTAGTAAACACTATTCGATACAGTAGATACGCGTTAATCAATATAATGTTTCTCCATAAAGAAAAAAAGATACTTGTACGTACCGCAAAATTCGAACAATCCGCTCGAGCTCCTTTGGCTTTTTGCATTTGCCAATATGCTCATACGACAGAAACTCAATAGGAATATCGTACTTTTTAAGCAAACTTTGTCTCTCTTTACTTATCCGAATATTGTTATACCCTTCCCCTTTCTGCATGACTTTTTAGAAACACTATAAAAAGGTAACGAAAAAGAAAAACATGCTTTAATAATATATCTGAAAATCAAAATTACAATTTATACAAATAGGAAATTAATATTTTTAATAAATAATTAAAAAATAGTTCAAATTAAATCGGTAAATTCTTATAGCATTAAATATAAATTTACTAATATTTTTATAGATATAATGATGTACAAGCAATTTTTGTTTCTATAAAAATATAAAAATAAATCATAATAATAATAACTCATAAAAAGTACAAAAGTTTAGGGTAGAACATTAATAAAGGTAAAAATATTGAAAGGATTTACTAATTATATTATTGCGGTTTTATTTAAATTATTATTATTATTATTATTATTATTATTATTATTATTGAAGATTTAACTACAGTATCTAGTTATAAACAAATGAATTTTATTATTGTAATAATTTTAGATATATTCCTTCGAAATAAACAATTAAAATTTTTATTCAAAATTTTTCAAATCTTAAATTTAATTACTTTAATGACAATCGAATATAATTTTAATTAATTAACAAACCTTTATCCTTAAGAAGTTAATAAAAATGTATAAAAACTTTGGTTGGTAATGGCTTTTCTTAATAATATTCTTCTTTAAAAGGATTTTTTTGAAAATTCTCGAAAATAAAAGGTGTTTGTCATTTGATTTAGTTTATTACTAAACTATTAATTTCTTTTTATATCATAAATTACTATATAAAATTAATTTTTTATTTTTAATCTATTTATCACTCTTCGAAATAATCGATCTATACGTTATACCAGGTCGCCTAGCTAGTATGCAAATTTAGAGCTAAATAATTGATAATGACTTAACGCTACTAGCACTTGCTTTTATTCACTTTCGAGGCGAGTTAGAATTGAATGATTACCGAGTGATGATGACATATACTTGATCTGAAACTGACAAATGGGTTCGTCTTAGGGTCGATACTCGATGAATCAAGGTTAAATATTTTTTTTTTTTCAACAAAATCCTTTTGTTAGATTTAAATTTATAATTATGATCTTTACATTTGCTACTTCAGATTTTCAGCATTGTTGAAATTCATATTAAAATTTTTATAATAATTCATGTCGAAAATTTTAATATAAAGAAGATATTTCAATAGAAGCAAATCCATTGCTTCACATAATACAAATATATATATACATTTTCATATCTCTATCAAAATTAATTCATTATTTATAATTAATATTCTGTTACGAATGAGATTTCTTTTTTCAAAATTGAAATAACATATTCCCTGAGAAAAGATTTTTCGGTACAATATGCACAAGATAAATAAAATCATATTTTATATTTCTTCTTTATTTATACAATAATATTTACAACTGTCAATTATTATAATTAATTGTCATAATTATGACATCTCTTTTTATTCTAATAATTAAAGTAACCTTATAAATTTATAAATAAAAATAAATCTATAGTTCAATAAATATAAATTAACCAGAACGTATTTAAGTTCTTCACATCTAACCTTTAAATTATAATGTACTAAAAATAGAATTTATTTTATTTTCTATATTTTTATTGAATAAGCAATTTATGAAATAATTTAATCAACTAAATTACGTATTGTTAATATTTCATTTATAGATAACTATTACTCAATTAATAACAAATATAATTAAGAACTTGTTATAATTAATCAATCGAATTTTTTATATTAAAATGTACAATTATATAATTACAATATAATAATTAACTACATAATTAATAAAAATAATATTTTAATATACAATAAAGATAATTTCATAATTATAGACATAGGTAAGGTTGAATAGAATAATTAAATAAAAAAATTTTTATTTTTAATAAATACATTATTTCATAAAAGAAATAAAAATAATTTATAACTTACCCATATGTTGTAGATACATATACAGAGCTGTCGAAATTTTTAATTTATGGTTACAGAGCTTTGTTAAAGTCTTCCATCGCAAAATATTGTAAACACACATATTTCCTGTTACCATGGATGCAACATTAACAGGCGATCAATCGCTTCGATTTTGTATTTGCCGCGTTTCGTATATTAGTGTCAGTTATAAGTTGTATTCAAAAGCGATTTTAAACGAAAAATTTCCTAAATTGAAGATACAGAAGATCTAGGTATACATCTTTAAACTTTCGTTATATTTACTTAAATGCGCAAATTAATTTTCTTTTTTTTTTTAATGTTTTGTTGGGCAACGGGATAAAATAAGGAACTAATAAATATATAATGAATATATAATAAATTATATAAATATATATAATATCTTAAACTTTATATTTGTCATATAAAATAATTTAAAATGTCAAAAAACCATCATTTTATCATATATTTATTTACATTTGAAAATATTGATTTTCTGTTCAAATATTGTATGCTATTCTCATTTTTATCTTGATCTACTATCCCAATTATCTAATTTAATGCATCAATGGACTGCCAACTAATGAACAGAATATTTTTGCAGTCTGCGTGTTAGATCCAAACTAATAAATAAAATAGCTCTTTAACATTAGTATTGCGTAATTCCAAATGCGCTTCTTACTGGTTATTACTAATAATACATCAAATTGTAATCACTATAATAATAATTAATAGCCAATAGTAAAAAGACGGAAGTTATTATAGGTTATATTATTTACAACGGCCAGTGTAATTAGTATTTGAGGAGAGGCTATTATTTATTGTAAAAGTTCAAATTACATATTGAAAACTGTCAAATTACGAAGGGTGAGTTATTTTTTATCCTTAATATTATTGAAAATAATATATAATAATTATTTCTTTACCGAATTTGTATTTAAATAGTAAATATCCTTATTAAAAAGTAGTGTTATAAATCAAGACTTTTTAAATCAGACAATCTGAATTATTCTAAGTAAATGAGATATCACAAACTGAATTAATAAAATTTATTTACCCTTTGTTCAATAAATGGTTTTCAAATTGAAATTATTTTACATTATTTTATAACAAATAAATTATATTTTCAGAAAAGCACAGAGTAAGGCCAGTATGCCAGAACCAGTGCATCATCAGATCAACACTGCAAGGAAAACTTTTCAAGCTCTCTATCAAATATCAAAATTACTTAATACAGATTTGGATCCTGCAACATTAAGTTACTGCGTGAGATTATGTGAAAACGGAGTGAATCCACAAGCACTTGCAACAGTTGTAAAAGAATTACAACGAGAAGTGAAGGCACTAAATAGTACTTCAAATTATACGAGTAAAAAGTAATCTTAGGCAATGATAGCATAACTGAAATGTATTGTCAAGTTTAATTGAATGATTACAAATTTTTATCATAATTTTTTATTTAAATTATAAAAAATATGAAAAGAAATTGCAAATATTATTATACCTAAATATTTAATCACCATTATAAATGTAGTACTCAAAATTTTCTAAGTTTAGAATTTTCTTATTTTTTCTAAAACTAAAATTATAATGGAATAAAATGTTTTTTTCAATATCACTTGAATAATAAGCTTCACGGTATTGCTAATAAGATTAATCACCAATTTTAATACCTATGGAAAATCATCTTATATAATAAACAATTATTATAACTCTGTTTTTTGAGTTTCTTTCACATTATCTTCTTTAGATTTAGGTTTTAATTTTTCTAGTTTTTTCTTTACATCCTGAAATGAAATATAATCAAATATATGAATAGTTATATTTTAACTGTTATTATTCAAGAGACATTACTTACTGTACTAGCATACTTTCCAATATAGTTTTGACCTTCTAATGTAACATAAGAACATTCAGGTTGTTCAATAAGAAAATTTTTAGCATCTACAACTTGCGATCCATCTCGAAACATAAATATTGCTCTCTTTTGATCTATTGGAAATCTATCATTACAAAATTACAATTGTTTTCTAAAGTTTCTGAGAGTTTTATGTAATATAATAGTAATAATACTATTCATTTTTCACCTTTCTGCAATAATATGATTATTTTGAAGACTAGTTTGCCAAATGCTCAAAATATTATCAGCTTCAGATTGTGTAAGCTCAGGATTGACATCAACAAACATCATTGTACTTTTTCCCTTTTTCGATACTTTGAGAATATTATCTGGATTTGACAAATCTACCTGAATGTATAAAAATTCATTATGAAATAAAATTAGTAATAATATTATGATTCTATATAACAAAGTGCATTATTCGTATTTCATTAATAGTTACCTTTGATAAATCGATATTTGGTTGAGGGCGCAGATGTTCAGGAAGTTCATCTGGTTCTAATGGATCATCGTCTTGCTACACAATAAATTTTTTTTATATTTAAGTACAAAATTAAAAAATTACATAATTTAATACAAATTCTAAAATTTTAAACATACAAAAAATTAATTTTATAATCAATATTTTATTTATAATTATATTGAAAATTACATTAATACTTATACCGAGACTATTGTTAAATAAAACTATATTAAACTAATAATAATCGAAATATTATAAATTGAATATTATAAATAACTTTTGTAAATTAATTATAGCGATAAATCATTTAATATAATACAATTAATATACTACTTATTTAAATTAAATTAATTGATATTCAAAATTATGATCAATATAGATATCATGTCAATTTTTATGAAATATTAAAATTAAAAGATCATGTAAATTGAACCTCCCACTGGTCCAGTAAAATTTCCAAATCAGCGTCTGTCATGTCACGCACATCTTTTCCAATTTTTCTCACTTTCGGTTTATCCGCTTCTGATGCATTTACCCATAAAATTGAATACACCACAAACAATAATATAAATCCCCATTTCGTAAAAATACTCCTTATCTCCATTTTTCAATTTTTGAGGTTACTATTTTGCTCCCGTCAATCAGTTAAAAAGTGACACGTGTTTGACTAAAAATTAAAATTTTATTTTTTTATTCGGGAACTAAATGAAATAACTTCATTCAAAATTAAGTTAGTCTTTTTTATATATTTAAGCTATTATATGTAGTTGCCTTATACAAAAGTCGCGCGAATTAACAAAACTCAACAATGAAATATCAAAATACTGATAATGCTTGCAAGAATCTATTAATTAAACGTACATTCAAATATACTTCTGTAAGCATATCATTTTTATTGAACATAGGTTACATTTTATTTTTAAACGATGAAAATTAAAAAAAAAGAAATATATATATATAATATACATAATATTAGTATAAATAATTTTAATAATAAATCATATCAAGTTTGATATAACAACATCATTATTTAATTAATATTGTGATAATTGTTTTGTTGAGCAACTATTAACTCATTAAAACAAATAAAATTATTACAAATTCTTATAAGTTCTCCATTAAGAGATTAATAATTGAGACTTTAATATGTCAAACAACTAAAAAGATTAATAATAAAAAATAGATTTTTTTTGTAATTGCGTATGATTTTGTTATAATTAATTGCCTATACTGAATAGACAAAGTAATAATTATAATAAGAGATATTGTTTACAAGTATATTATATTAAATATAAATTGAAAATAATAGATATTTATTAATGCAGTACAAAAAAGAAATCAAATGTTTAAAAATTATTCATCATATTTCATAATATATTATAATAACAATAGAAATATTTTTTCTTACAATATTGTAAATGCTTTAATAACACTTATAAGTAAATACTAAATATATATATATAGGTCATGAAATGACAGAATTTCTTTTTATCTATACTAATTATTTTTTCAAGAAATGGACTCACTTATGAGATTTCCTATCATCTCTCCTATATCTACAGAATTCTTTAAAACAAATGAGTGCAGATATCCTTTATTACATAGCTGTGCATTTAGGGTAGGATGATTCATCATTAAGTCTTCATAATATCTAACTGGTGTCCAACCATCCTTACTGCCATAATATAGAAAAAGTTTATTTTTATGTTGTAATATTAAAGAATTATTTAATTCTTTTACAAAAATCATCTCTTGCTTAGCAAGCAAGAAGATTCGTTTTAATGACATTGGATGTATTGTTTGCAATACAGCATCGACTATACTTGGTGTTGAATATCCATAAAATAATCCAAATACTTTAACTAAATATTCTTGTAAAAAATTAGGAAGCATAGTAAAAATCCAAGACAAGAATATAATAATGGGAGTTATTCTTAGTATCTAAAATAAAGATTTTAATTTAATTACAAGTAATTCAATTTAGTATATTTTAGATTTTTAAACTTACTACATTAGTCAGAAACCATCCATTAGGACTTTCAACCATGCGTTCAATAGTAGGAAATAGTAAATAACACTTTACAACTCTGGTAGCAATATCATTATCTTTTAACAAATTTAAAACAAACCAACTACCAATAGAATGACCAATTAAATGAATCTTAGTATTTGGTGGTAGATATTTTTTTATAAATTCAGCCTATAATTTCAAAATTTATATTAAAATTGTTTTAATTTAGACCATGTTCAAATATAAAATAGTAATACATTATTATATTATACAATTATAATTCAATAATAATATAAATATTTATTTCATATTGTCAGTGTATAATCATTATTTTACATTCGAATTTCTGTTAATTAGTATTTACTTTCTTTCTAATCAATTAATGTACCTTATGTTCCAAATTACCCTTTAAATCATACAAATGTGTTTCGGTTCGAATATCTGGATAATAATTACACATATTAGGTGGTGGCTTTGTATGTCCAGAGTGTCCAATGATATATACTGGTAACTTTTTAAATAAGCAATTTTTAAGACTAATAGCAAATTCTTCGTAGTAAGCAGGAACGCCAGGATTTCCTGTTATGATAAGAATAATATCTTGTTTTCCATCTTGAAGTACTTTATTCTCAGTCCAAGGAGTACAACTAATAATTTCCGTGGGAACTTCATTAACTTTGACAGTTTTACGATACATTTCTTCCAATTTTTATAAATTTTGTAAGGTTGTCTTTATCAAAGGAATTGAAAATAAATGAATGAAAATATAAAATGTAAATAAAGGAAGTAATAAGAAAACTCAAAAATATAATATTTGTTTTAATGTTTGAAAAAAATGAGGACAATTTTTGTTAAGTTTATTTTACATATTTTTTTAAATATTTTACTTTCAATTCTACTACATTATTTTAAACAATTAATTTAGTGCATGATTAATTTAATACTTGAACAAATAATAGTTAATAAAAATATGTAGATTTATAAAATATTTTATACTATAAAAACAGTTCTTTACACAAAATCAGAACAATAATTTTTTATTATTTATTTTAGCAAATGTAAATTAATTATGGAGCATAATAATACCATTCAATAATTAAATATATAAAAGAAATAAAATTGATGTAATTATATTAAATTTTTATAATTTAAAATTATTCACATTATTGTAAAATATTTTTAATTTTATTAAAAGTATATATTAAATAATTTTATAACGCAAAGATGTAAATAAAATATGAACCTTTTTATTTACTTTGACACAATTACAGTATAATGCAACACAAAATAAGACTTCTTCAATTGTTATAATTATCACTTAAACCAGTTTGCTACTTATGAAAATATGAAAGTGTTAATATTTGATAAACTCTGAATTGAAAATACCGAGTAATTAATATGCAGTGAACCGAAATATCAAAAGTTAAATATTATGATACTAACTGTCAACTTTTTAATAAAGGAAGAACATTCTATATTCATAGTTATTTAGTACATTTAGAATAATATATAAGATAACATAATTATAATTAATTACTTAAATATTAATAGCACCGAGGGTTAGAAGTATTTGCATAAAAATAAAATATTATTCGATGTGATGCTACATTCTTGAAATTATAATTAACTTAATGATTGATAAAACTTATTTTATATTTGAAGTTATTATAATATTTTAATTTGTTATTAAATGCTATTATAAGACGGCATTCTATTGCAATTGTAATTTTATATAAGTAAAATTTTACGGACGAAACGATAATGATAAATCATGCATATAAACGATCCTACGAAAAAAAGTGTACGCCAATGCTTAAAATATTTATATTAAATATATATATATATATATATATATACACGTAAGCACGTATCTTTACATATTCTATACACACATTCACATATACTACATATGCTGCTATGTAAAACAGGACGCACTTTCTATTGAAAATAACATGAACATGGGATATGATTGTAAACACGTATATAAAAGTCTAAAATGAAAAGTAATAGAAATATAAAAAAAAGGTTAAACGAAGATATATTTATTATAAAATTCAAAAAATCTTGATAAAATAATTCTTGAAATATTCAATAAAAAGAATGGTTTCCCGTTTGGAAAAGTCAAATCGTAAGTCCTAATGAGTAAAAGTTATTTTACTAATAAAGGAAAAGTTAAAAAATAATTATACGATCCTAAAATATTACCTAATACATCAATTAATATCACATATATATTGCATTATTATTAAACATTTAAATACGTATAAATTATTTAACAAACCGAAAAATCAATAATCTACATAAGGCCAAACAGTTGAATGTCTCAATAATCTAACTATAAAATTCAATGAACAAGGAGTTGACCTTTTTAAAAAGACAATTGCGGTAACCCCTTATTTTTTTCCCTCTGGGAAAGTTCGTCATGTTCAGAACACAAAAAAATCATGGTTTCAGGTATATCCGGCTCTTATTTCAATACCCGAGGATCTTATCACTTTATATTTTATTATCTGTGATGTAGATGTATTAATGAATTTAAAAAATACGAAACAAATTTTTTATTCTATCAAGTGCTCATTTTTTCTAAGCGATTTATTTTTATGTATATAATAAAATTTGTCATTGGTAAAGCCTTTTAAGTGCTTATTTATACTACGTGAGATTTATTTATATATTATTCAAATATGATTTGTATAGACAGTAAGAATCGAAGATTATGACTTTTAGTGAGTTAAATTTCTTAAAGGCTGCTGTAAAGAGGCGAATATGATTACATTTATTTCTATACTTAATAAACAGCTATAAAATTTGCAATGAATGTCTTCTTTGTCTAATAAGAAAATTATTAGTAATTTATTAAATGATTTAATAAATGACTTGAAAAATAATTTATACATGGATACTTCTACAATTACTTTCATTTTCTCAAGAAGTCGATTATTCATAACCTTATAAACGACAGGTAAATGTAGCAAATATACAATTTACTGACTTGCATTGGTCATAATCAATTTCTTAAAAAAAGTTTAACAAAAGCATACTATGCGGCTTACATACAAGTTAAGTTTTATAATTTATTTCCTAATTTTGAAGTGATAGTTGTCAACTGTATTTTTATACAACTCATAATAGAAATGGTATTCGATCTTGTTCCGTATATTTAAATAAACAATTTATATTCTGTTTGTATTAATTCGATTATATTTAAAAACTGATGATTGTATGAATAAATTATTTAAGAAAAATTTTGTAGTCGTTGGTTTATTATCACACTACTTTACGTAGTCTTGCAATTTTATATAATTATAAAATATTTCTAAAATTCTTACTCAACTGTCGTATTTAATCACGCTTTCAAATTATGAATTGCATTTATTATTTCTTTTCATGCAATGCATTCAATATTAATTTTATTAAATACGTTATTATTTTACAACATTATACCATTGATTTAGATGTGTTTTATATCCTATTGAAAATTAAGAAAAAATTAATCGGAATAAAGCGCAGACACTATAAATGTTAAGTATCTACAGAGTCAGAGCACTTATTAAAAAAAGATTAGAAAAATTTAAATAAATATGCAATATAATGAATACATATTGCTTAATATTATAAATAGCATAAAATATCTTATCATAAAACATTGTTTTTTTAAGTATATTCAAGAATATATTCTAATCAGCACAGAAAATTCAATATTTAAACACAACTATTCTTTGTATAATTAATTATTGCAAAATTAATTTAATAATATCAGCTTCTGTATTTTTGGTCTTTAAACTTTCGAGGTTCCCCCAAAAAAGTAAATTGTCTAGTTTTTACTGTTTCTTAGAAGCTCTAGATTCTCATTAACTATAGAAATTCTACTCTTGTTTTTTTTATTGTTAATTTACTTCGCTAGAATTAATAATTTTTTTCGACATATTCTGTCTAATATGTCTATATTCAAATGGTTTCAATAGCTACAATTTAAAATAATGAATATATATATATATATATATATATATATATATATATATCATCTATATATATATATATATATATATATCTTCTATATATCTTCATCATCTATATATATATATATATATATATAGATGATATATATATATATATATATATATATAGATTATATATATATATATATATATATATATCATCTATATATATATATATATATATATAGATGATGAAGCATATAATAGCAACATTGCTTTTCTTGTAATGTCATAAAACACATTGTAACTCTATTATTTAATCAAATTTGATTGTTTTATACAAAACATAAATTTCATATATATTATTTTAAATATAAATTTAAAAAATTTAATGTTAAAATATAATTCTGAAATTAGTTATAAACTGAAATTTGAATTTAAAAAATAATAATCACAGTGGTCAATATTTTTTGATATTTCAAGTATATTCTATATATCAAACTTTAATTAATAGAAATCATATTGCTTAAAGCTACAAAATTACTTTATATTTAATTATTTGCCATTAAATTAATAGCAAATCAAATGTTAAATTAAATACGATTTCAATTATTATGACTGTATCTTTTTTGATAAAATTTATTTAAATGTTATTTAATTAAATATAAAAATAGTTTTATGTATAATTAGCACTTAATTTTTGAAAATTAAAATAAAACGTTAAATTACTTGCGAAAAATATTTTTACCAGTTATATTCATCTATGTTCGCATTATTTATTAAAACTAATTTTTATTTATCAATATTTTAATTACAACAGTTAAACAGAAGAATGCTGATACAAGTTCAGTTATTTATGGCTTTGTAATTGTAAATGTTTTATAACATAAGTTGAAATGTGCGACGTTTTCCAAAAGTACAAAAAAGTTCTGCAACTTGGTATTTTAATTATAACTATTTGAACATTTCTTTACTGTAAAATTAATTATCATTTATTTTTAAAATAATAAATTATCAGTTAGTATGAAAATCAATTTTTTAAAAATTGATCTATACAATGTTTTAATTTATTCAAAGTTAAATTACTTATAAAACTAATATAATTCATTGACTTAGGCGTCCAATTGAGAATGACTGTCACATACTCGTCATTCCCCATCAGCTGATTGGTGTATACGCAGTTGTTTCCAGTTATTTCTCAATGCGTGTGCAGATGCTAAAGTGCATAACCATACATGCAAATTTAAAGGAAAGTTTTCCTATGCATTATCGTAAGTGCAATAATGAAGGATTTCATAAGATGAAAAATAACAACAAAATGAAAGTTATTCAGAATCATTAATAAGGAACATTATAAATATCTCGATTTTTTGGACAACTGATGCTACCTTTTACTCCATGTCAATTCCCAACATATTAAGTATCTATATATTTAATAGCTTACATAATAACTTACAAAAACATCATGATAAATCTATTGACATGCTGTTATTAAATTTTATTTCTTTTATTGTTACAGTTCTATATGTTATTCATATACAATAAATTTCAATAATTTGCTATGACACTGGGATGACACAAATTTAATTATCTAAAGAATAGTAAAACTTCAGGACTTCCAGGTTAATATAAAAATTTATATCAATATGCTTAAAAATGTACATAAATAATTCTATTACCTTCTTGATAGTTTATTGTTTTATTTATAATCAATTGATTTATAAAAATAACACACACACACACATATATATATATATATATATATATATATATATATATATGTATGTGTATGCATGTATGTATGTATGTATAATATAAATGACAATAAATTATTTATAAATATAACAATTTTAACATTAGTATCATATGATGATAATTTTAAATTAATATTTGAAGTACTTAAACATATATAAGTACCGAAATGTAAGGTATAAGATACTTCGATACTCTTCCCTTAAAAAATTAGGCAAATTATAATTTATATTAATGATTAATACAATCAGTGAATTTTAATTAATTGATTTATTAGAATAAAGTTATTTCTAATTTTTGATAGAAATTTTATTCAATTTCATTATAATATTAGATGATTAAATTTGATTTTTTTAATTTTCAGTTCAACTGGTCAATATGTCAAGATCACTTAGTAATAATTATACCTCGGGTCTTCCTGGTATAAAAGAAATTCTCAACCTTGCTAAACTTCTTAGAAATAATGGTGATAAAGTTTTAAGTGCCTCTAGTAAATTATGTCTATCAACAAAGCTTCTGAATAATCTAAACGAAGCATTTTCTTTGATAATTAATGAAACAGATGACTTAGAAAGCTCTTTTCAAGTGTGCAATAGTTCACGTAACGAAGTAAATATATCTAATAATATTTTTATCAAATATATATTAATTAATTATTAATTTGTATATTTTTATTAGGTTTTCCAAGATGTAAAATTTCTTCATGACTTTGTCCAAAAAACAGTTGGTCTTAAAATTCTACATAATCCTAATGATATGAAAGTGAATGTCGATATTACTAAGTTTAGACACTTAAAATACTTAGAATTACAAAAGGTTCCTGTGGAAATTGTTAAGGGAATTCAGGGAATTAGAGGACAGCTTGAATGTATTGTCTGTACTGGTGGTCATGGAGTCAACAGTATTCATGAATTACTGGGTATGTTAATTTAATATTTGATTTTAGAATACTTATTGAATTTATAAATGAAAGCATTTTTTATTCATTTTTATGTGTTCAAAAGCACTTAAAATCCATGAAAATATTTTTGTTTTATATTTATTAATGTTAGTAAATTAAATGTAATAATAAAAGTAAAAAGTGTATAAAGAAGCATCTTGTTTATAATTAATATTTTGAAAAGTTTTTAATAAACTTAAAATAAAATTTTTTAACAAATTTCAGTAAATTATAATTAATAATTTCAATATTATAATACTAATTAAAATAAAATAAAAATTTGAAACATTAATATTTTAAATTAATATAATATATAAATTAAGTAGCTGTGAAGTTTTTATTTCCTAGAATTTTTTTAAAAACTTCTGTTCATCTTGTGCAATTTTTTTATCCCTAAACATTAAATTATATTAAACTGTAAACAATTTAAAAATTTAACTGTATAAAATTAAATTGTATATTAATTGTATAAATTATTTAATATTCAGCTTCTTGCGGAGGAGATGAAGGAGTTGGATTTGTTTGGGGTTCACTGCAACGATTAGCATTACCCTATAACGGTCTCTCACATCTAGACAAATCTTTAGAATTTGCACCCTGGATGGAAACTATGGACTTAAGTCATAATTTAATCACCAAAATTACTGAATTAGAATACCTACCAAATCTGAGAAACATTAATCTAGGCTATAATAATCTTGAATATATTCCCCAATTTAATAAGGCTTCATATCACGCTTTGCAAAAATTAATATTAAAAAATAATGATATTGACAACATCAATGGTAATTTAATTTAATTTTTAATCAACATATACTGATTAATAAAATTATTATATAATTTAGTATACAAAGTTTATATTGATATTTATAAATGATTGAAATTTTATATATATATAAATGTTTAAATGGCAATATAAACGAAGAAATTAATTGAAATACATATTTACATAACTTAGATATATTTTTAACATTTTATTTTTAATATGTTTATTTAATACATATATATGTCAAACTATTTACAATATACATAAAATAAAATTTAAAAAATTTATATTTATATAAAGCATATTAAAATTGAATTAATAATTTTTTTTTAATAGACTTTAATGTACTTTCAATATAATTCTAATTTAAATTATATTCTTTAATATTCTTTATTCTTTATTATATTCTTTATGATTTAGGTTTACAGGGATTAGAATGCTTGATCGAGCTGGATTTATCTTATAATTGTTTAATGGACCACTCGTTGCTTTGGCCATTAGAAACAATGTCAATGTTAATGTGGCTTTGTTTAGAAGGCAATCCACTATTTCATCATCCTCGTCATAGACTTCATACTATTAAACACTTGCATTCATCATTAAGTGATACGAAAGTAATGATAATTTATATTATTATTTGCTAAAAATAAGATGCAAATTAAAATGTAAATTTTAATCAAAGAATTTTAATAGAACATTAAAGAATTTGCTATTCAATATAATCATCATAATATAATAATTTAGAATTATCTATATATAATAAAATATTATTGTATGAAATAATGTATAGACAAGTATATAATTATGATAAACATAATTACATGATTTTTTATAATATTTGTTAATTATCATGGCCAATTAGGAATTTATATTCTTTTTATAAATCTGTCTAAATATCCATTTTTACTTTTTTCTAACTGAATTAATAGCATTACATTAAAATAAAAGTAAAACCAAACCCTAATGTAAATAATAATCAAATTAATTATTTAAATGTCTTGTCAATCTTTTAACTAAATTAATGACACTATCACTTACGATAGAAATAAGTTTGAATTAAAAAGTTGATATTCTAATATTATTAAAATTTTATAAAACGCCAATGTTTCTTATAGATTTTCATAAATCAATATATATTTCATTTAAGATAGCACGGTCATTTAATGAAATATATCTTTGAGTAAATTTGTTATAGTTCGTTCTGGATATGCAGCCGCTAAATAAGTCAGAGAAACTATTCGTCTCTGAGAACCGACTGTTCACAATTGGAACATCAATGCAGCGATCGCGAGATCGCGAGCCCAATCTCCCATCCGTAAACAGCTCAACGGCGTCGTGTTTTGAAGCCAATGACCACCCATCAAATAGTGACTTGGACTCACAAAAGTCGCTCAAGGGTGAAGTCGAGGTCGCTAAAATTAAACCTATGACCAGAAGAAGAAAGAATGTACTGGAAGTAATTATCGCCGAGGACGATTTAGAGAAGGAACATTCAAAATCCAAGCCGAACTCCCTTAGTAATTCTTATCTAGGTGGGTCCTCCAATCGCTTTGTTAATCATTAATTTCCATATAGTATTTTAATATAAAATTATGCCATACGTTGAATTAAATAATTTTATCTAAGATCCACATAAAGCAGTTTATCCACAAAATTAGTAATATCCCTTCTATGAGCTTCTGACGATTGAAAATCGTTTTAGAATCATCGATGGATCATTTGGAGACAAAGCGTCAGATCTTGGCATTACGCGCAAAATACGGCGAAGACAATTGGCTAAGCAGTTATTCGGCAACTTATATTCAAAGCATTATGGGTATACAAAGCTCCGGAGAAGGCTCGAATACTCTCCTGTCATCGACATTTACCGACAATCACGACAGTTACCAACAAGCTTCGCTCTGTGCCACCACTTCCATATCGCCAATACTTCCCACGCAAATGGAGCTCGTACGATCCATAGATGATATGTTCGAACATACGAGTTGCGCGGCCCAGGTAAAACCAGTTAAAAATTTTGTTTAAAGTTATGAAATTATGAAATTATGAAATTAATTTTAAATTAATTTAAATTAATTAATAATTATAAAATAATTATTTATGAAATTCCAAGCATATCGTACAGTTTCACTTATTCAATATTAAATATACCGCGTCATTTATGAACTATTTTTAATATAAATTTAACACGGTATATAATGGGTGGCATAGATAATAAAAAATGTATTTACTTATGTAAAAAGAATGGTGAAGAAAGTGAGGCAAATAGAGAGCAACGACGAATGGAGCGAGAATACGAAAGTACAGATGAAGGAATAGTTGTGGAGACAGAGCCAGAGAACGAGACTGATGATAACGCAACTCTAAAAGTAGAGCCACACGAGACATTGGAAGCTTCATACGATCCTGAAGAAGGTGTGGGTTGTTCGATAGCTTTCGAAATTCATATATTTTATATATAAATGTTATTTGTAATAAAAGCAGAAGCATAAAAAATTTTTTGAAAATATAATTTCCTAAAATGTATATTGATTCTAGAAAAAGGTGATTTATATTTGGTTCAAAAGAAGAAAGGACAGGAAGAACCTGATGAAATTTTTTTAATTATAACACCAGAGTAAGTTTAATAAATTCATCACAATTTTATAAATCTAACGAAGTCAAAGTAATAAAGTATCGTGTTTGTTCATTTAGAGACATTAAGGAAAGAGATTCCATTAACGGTAAAATTAAATTTCGGTGGCCAACTGATACGGTCCTTTCATGCGTTTTAGGAAGAGGAACACCGACGACTGTCGATATTACATTCGATACTACACGAAAAGATCGGGAAGCAAGGACATATATCACTGAACTCGAAGATGCCAAGGTGCATACTATTTTTATTTTAAAATTTCTTACATGTTTACTTATAACGTTCTACTTATAATTATATATTTTAAATTCCAATTTCATAATTTTATCATAAAAGGCACCTTATAATTATTATCTATTTAATTGTAATATAATAAAATATCATACTATTCGTTTAGTTTTAGTTGGCTATTTAATTATTTTTATACTAATTTTACCACAAATATATTTTTACATTAAAAAATATACTATATTATTGGCCTATGTTTAATATTATAGATAATATTTTAATATTATTTGTTTTAGAAAATTGTACAAACTTTGAATGAAATGATTAAGAGTCAGCCGATGATACTTAAAATTTTTAAGTGCATGAAGTGTTCTACTCACTTTTCTCAAGATGGCGATAATAATATTGTCACGTCTTTACCTGGTAAGCTTTGAAAAAAAAGACTATCAATGAAGTCAAAGATATTTTAATTTAAAAACTCAAAGCACAATTATTCAATTAATGTTATTTTATTAATAAATTTGTTAAAGCTGGTTTACAACCTAAATGTCCGACATGTAAAAGTACCTTAGTTATACAAACAGATGAGCTACCAACTCCAGCACCAGAACGTTTAGAAAAAATTTTGGAAAAACCGAGACTTGAAGCTCAAAAAGATTTGCTTAATGAAACGCAGCTTCCACATTCGAGTTCACAATCTAGTATCGGTAAGGAAATAAAATATTCCTTTACTAACTGACTCATAAATAAACAGCTATTCAAAAATTGTACAACTAATTGTGTATTTCATTTACATAAATTATAATATTCACAAGCATAATAATAATTGATTACTAGATAATATGCAATGGTTATTCTCTTCATCTACAAGATAATTTTACTCGAATATTAATTTAATATTTTTCAATGATTATACTTTTTTTAAATAATCATATTCCATAATTGTTTTACATTCTCAAATTTTTTTTTATTCATGTAATGGAATTTGTGCATAAAAACATTTATCAGCATTTATAGAATTTAACATATATATTGAAGTAAAAAACAAAAAACAGAATCTCAACTAAACGACAATAAAATTTTACAAATAAAGAAAAAATGTATTATAAATTTTAAATATATTTACAATAAACTTGATATAATCAAGTGTCATCAATCAAGTGAAGTAATCAAGTGAAAAAAATTATTTTTTTCTATTAGAATGTAAAATAAGGAACTACAAGCATGTAATCATGCGTGTACAAGATAATTGTAAATGAATAATTTTATTATTCACAATTAGTCGTACACTTTTAAAAATAAATACTTTGATGATAAGAAAACTGTTATTGGCAATTAGAAATCTATACTTGATTGTTTCATTTGTGAAATGAGATACATAACAAGTAAGTATACAAAAATCGTGAATTTTATTAATTAATAGTACTTTTTATTCCTTTTTAAATAGATAATATTCATATTGATATTTAATACATGAATGTAAATTTTACATTAAAAGAATTAATATTTGTATACATTAATACTATAAAAGAAATTTAGTAAATAGTACTTTTCCAGCATAAAATCTATATTATTACTAATCGATCATTTTATTATCCATATATAGGTTCAGCAACTAGCTTAGAAGAATCTCGAGAATCAACACCATCAGCTGGAACAACGTCTAAGAAATATGAAAGCGATATTGAAGTACTTAGCAATCCAAGTCAAAGTAGTATCGAAGTTCTTGATGACGGGTCAAAGTAAGTAATCAGTAATTTACTTGCTGCATCTATAAATATTATTTATATTTTTTTAATTTCAGTATAATTTATTCATTAATGTACTTAATAATAACATTTCATGGAAAAATGCCTGCTTTTTAGGCACTCAGTAATTAAAAAACTATTTTGTCTCATTCTTTAAAATATTTATTTTAATTAATAAAATACATTTTATCGCGCCTACGTTTTTACACTTTATATAAGTATTATTACAAAATCTTTACAATCTATCCTTACCAAAAATTAATTATCACCAAAAACTAACTACATTCTTAGATAATTTAATGTTTTTAAACATTTCTAACTATAATATACCATATATGAAAATAAATAATTTCTTATTTTACTGACAGTTCATATACAATAAAAAAAATTCAATGTATAAATTTATTTGGATTTATCATAAATCATGGATTGATTATAAAAAAAGAAAATTAATTTTTGGACAAAATATAAGAATGTGTTTGAATATATATATATATATATATATATATATATATATAAGAGAATAATAATTTGAAATAACTTTTTCTCATTTTAAAAGCAATTTAAAATTATTTTTTAATAATTATAACATTAAATAATTATAACAAATATTTTTAAAAGCTTTTTATTCGTAATAGGTTAAATAAATTTTTTATATTTAAGTAATATAAAGTTGAGGTGTAATAGAAAAACCGTTTTTTTTTGCATCCAAAGCTTAGCTATACTAACTCAATATCGATTTGAAATCGTTCATTAGATCAACAATACCACACAGAAAGAAATCATCAGAAGAAAGGCGAGTAGCTATCGCTCCTTCATTATTAACAATCCCAGATACAACTCTTTGTATGGCGGGCTTAACCGAAAGTAGCTCATCAGGTTTGAATTTTGTTGCATTAATTCAACTATGGTTGGAAAATTGAATAAAAATCAAGCTGTAAATACATGTGAACAATTAAAATAAATAACTTTTAATAATTTCGATAAAAAATTTCAAACTATAAGTTTCGTTCGTATACTGATTATCTATCCTTTTCAATTAAAAAATTAAAAAAATTAAATTAAACAAAATTTAATGTTTGAATATTTAAACATCTTACATTTTAGTAATAAACTTAATTATTATATTATGCATACAAATTGAGGCAACTTTTATTATCCGTTTATTAATATATAATCGTCATCCTATAAGAAAAACCGAATAAAAAAATTCTTTCTGTTAATAACCATAAAAAAACCTAAATTATAACAACAAAAATAAATTACTATTTAATATTTGAAATTATTATTTAAGATTACATTAAATACAATGCTCGATTATGTTGTTTTTTTTTAATTTTCCAACCCAAGGATTGTCATACTAAAAAGAAAAAAATTCATCAGTCGTGCCTTTATGTGTAACTAACGCCATTCACAGGTTCATTGACTGATAGTGTGTGTACTGCTTATGAAAATAAAACTCTTAAGTTATTGGATAAGACTGAAATGTCCAATAGCAGAAGTACCAGCGATGCTGAAACAATCAAAGCCGACACTTTGGATTCAGAAAGTGCTTTCGCTCCCGTAACAAATCTTACATCAATGTTGGGTGGTAAGTTATTATTGAAAATAAAACATTTTTATTTTTACTACTAATGTTTCTTACGAGCAAATTTAAAATATTTTAATTTATAATAAGAGGTGATATATAATTTAAAAATTATATAATTATTTTGAAAGTAACTTTCATGTTATTTGAAATCTTGTCAAATAGATGAAGAGATAAAATTTATGTTATAATAATCAAAATAACATAGTACTTTTGTGAGACATCAGTTACCTTAAAAAATGATGTTATGTAATTGATAATTCAAGCAAATTAATGAAAAATTTTGTTGATAGAATTACTTCAAAGTATGAAAATTGGACAATCCAAAGATACGACATCGAAATCTGAAGAAAGTTCGGAATTTATTGGCAGTAATATTCAATACTCTTATACAAATTTCAATAATGTTGATCATCGAATTAAACTTCACATTATATTAAATGTTTTTGAACATGAAAATGAAGATCTTGCTTTACTACTACGAGTATAAATTGATAAATACATACTATTACTTATAATTAACTTGTAAAACAATATTACATTAATTATCTATTTACATTTTTAGGCTGATATCCTAACTCAGTCTTCAGTAGATACATTTCCTGGGTGTTTAGTTATGTCAACAGCTAAAGTTTATATTTTAAAGATTAATGGACCAGAAGGGTATATACATTATTAATTCACGTTTCTGATTATTATTTTATGAAAATATAAATTTCCATATTATTTTTCATAAAATAAATCACCATATTAATTCATAACAAATTTTAATAACATAAATTATGGATTTTTTATAAGCAGTGAAAATCCTCAACGTTGGCTGCACAAAGAATCAAGTTGGACAATAGATAGGCTTAGATCATTCGCTCCATTGCCTTTTAAACAGGGTGTACTTGTTGAATTAGAACAACCTAGTAAATCTGGAAATAGTCTTACTAATAGCGTAGTTTTGTGCATTCTTCAAGATTTTCAAAGAACATCTAATTTTTTATTTTATTTGACAGGTATAAATAAATATAATAAGTTACTGTTATCTACTTATTAATAATATTTTACATTATTAATGAATTGATATTTAATATTACATAATATAAGTAAAAATTGATAAATTCTTTTTCAAATTTTATAAAAATTTTGTTCAAATTTGTAAAGTATTATTCTAAGAAAATGTTTTTCTGAACTTTTTAGATTCACCACTTCCTGCTAGTTGTGAGGTTGAATTCACAGTACCACAATATTGCAATTTCTCAATGAAAAATATTCTCAAATCCTCAAAAAATAACAAAGAAGAAGATAGCATTAGATTACTTGCATTATTTTCATCAGCTATATTAAAATCTCCAAATGACACTATAAAACTTAAAGTTTCTAGTTTAATTATAACCTCATCAACTTTAATTGTGGTGCAAGATCAAATTCATTGGCTTTTATCAGAAAAACATAAGCTTCCAGTCATAGTAGCTGAACAAGGAATGAGTAACTTAATCGAAGTAGTAAGTTAAACATTAGTAATATAATTGTTAGTGGAAACAAATTCTAAAATTTTTTTAAAACGTAATTCATAACTTTTGTTAACTTCTCCATTTAACATAATCTATATAGAATTTTAAAATTGATCTTTTATCCTTTTTAAATTTCATTTGTATTATTCTAATAAGGCCATTAATATTATTTATCAATATTACAAGAAAAAAATTTACTTTTATTTATTGTATCACCTTTATTAAATCATATAAATTTTAGTTGACAAAAAACAAAAGTATTCACATATAAAACTTTGTTAATTCTAGGATTCTGGTGGAAACTCACTAGTTTTGAATTTCTTAGACGAAGTATTAGGTGCTGATGCCAGTTGGACCTTAGAATTTGTATCATCAAGCGCAGCAGAAGCTGTAATTAATTCTATTCGACCACCCTGGGAAGAGCTATTTTCGGTGCCGTTACAAATCAATGTTCCATTAATGTCAGAGAGCACTGATATTCAAGAAAGAACGTGACAGCAAAGCATGGACCGTTTGATATATTATCGACACTACAAGTTCATCAGCGTAATTATAACACGCAACATTATTTACATTAAGCGAATAATCATGACCTGTGTATTATATCTATATTTTCTATATGGTCTCACTGAAAATAGATTCAAATATAAGAGAAAAAACTGAACCACTAAATGGTGCTAGTAGCAAAAAGGTTGTTTAACAAATGTACATAATATAAAGAGAATCCTGAAGGATTCGTCTATAATTTACTCATTTCTTCGAACGGAAATGAATTCTGTGTATATACAAGTTATTTTAAGAAATAATTCTCCTATGTCTATTAAGTTATGTATTATATACAAGTAATAGCAGAAAAATTTAATATCTATTTTCATGACTGTGTACTAATCTTCTATAAGAGAAAAATCATATATATTTTCAGAATAATTTCAATTTATTTATTTATTTATTTTCTACTCTGTATTATTTTATTAGTCTTATAAAACAAAAATCCCTGCAAAACGCAATTAATAATTTACAGAATCATGTAAAATAGTTAACAATTCTATTAAAAATTAAAGATATACTAAGAATTATTTAAAAAATTTGTTTTATTTGATCTTATGTGTATGTAAATAACCTGTTTATATAATGAATTAAATGTGATTCTTTTATCTAAAATGATTTATTTAACAATAGGTTATTAATATTTTTGTATACTTTACTTTGTTCTTTTATAGATAATGTTTATTTTATTTGTAATCTATTAATATTACAAAAAATCAAAGAAGTATGGAAAGTAATTAATAGATATTTAGTTACTTTTAAATTAGTTACTCAATTTTATTAACATAAAGTTTTGTTGTAAATTTGTTAACATAAAGAAAAGATATATTTCTAATAAATATATTTATCTTATACTTTGATATTAATATTATAATACAGTTTATTTTATAATTAAACTATATATATTTAAAGCAATCTTACTATAATAACGGTTATAAATTTTATTATTTTTAAAACAGTAAAATTAATATAGGATTTGATATAATTAACAATAGAAACAATTTAATATTCTGATTACTAAATTCTTTATTAGTATAAAAATATTTTATGTTTAGTACTAAATAGTTTACTATATAAATGTTAATATTTTTTTTTATTTGAAATAAAATAAGTTGATTAAAGTAGCATAAATATAAAATAATAATAAAAAAATTATTTTAATGAAACTTATGGGACTTGAAGTTAAGTATCTATACTGTTATCATAAAGAATAATAAATATGAAAAATGACAATATTATAGATAAAGATAATATAGATTAGATATAGATAGCAGTGGTAAAGATAAAAATTAATATAAAATGCAATAATTGTACTTATTTCACAAAATATTTTTTGTATTATGTATATTGTTAAAATATTAAATTGTGTAATAGATCTATGATAAAATTAAATTAATTGTATTTGAAACTTAATTATGCAATATAAAAATTGATTTTTCTAATCAATCTTTGAATACGATATGTATAAAAGTTTTCGATAACATTATATTACGAGTAATTGTATAAAGTTTGTATTTTCATTTTTAATTAATACGAATAATAAAAAAAATTAAAAATTAATACGTAATTAGAATTTGAACAAATTCAATGTCTAAATAATAAAAATATCTTATATATACCATTTTAATTATATTTTATTCTTATTTCCTTATTTTCATGACTTCATTAAAAAAAAAAATTTCAAAAGGTACATGCCTTTATTATCTAATTTTGTTCTTATTAGCGTAATTTTAATTGTAATTGTAATTGTATATTTATTATATTATTATTTGTATATATCATTCACCTTACATATTATGCTGTTATTTCTAATATTATGTTAATTTATGAATAAGATTAAATTTGTCATAATTAGCAAAAATATTTTCTGAATTCTAATTGTCGTTTATATTGATATAATTAATATTATACAATTTTATATGCTAAAAAAAAATTTTTTTCAATGAAATAAACAAACTTAAACTAATACTTATCGGTGCAGTTAGACTGACGCTTGGAGCCATTAATTTTCATAAATGATCACAACTTATAACATACTTATAGTGTTCAGATCGAGGCAATAAGATATCCGTTTATTGCCGAATACTCAAATTTCAGATTCGAAAAATTCTTACTTTTGCACTTAAAAAATATACCAAATGATTAAAAGAAAAAAAAATTATTAATTATCTTCTTTATTATTCCTAAATACATATCTTCTTTATTACATAAAATCTGTTATATAGTTTATTCCTTCTTATTGCTCACAAAACATAATAATTTATATTATGCAGATTTTATTTAAAATATTTTTATACCTGATAATAAATCGAATGCATTTCTTATAACTTTGCTTATTACTGTTTTTAAATACTTTAATTACTGATATTCATTATATAAATTTAACCCCTACATGATAAAAATTGTATAATTCTCAGTTTATATAAGTTTACATAAATTTATAAGTAATTGCTCGATAATGATAAATATACACTCATTCGTTTAAAGAAATAGCAAACAAATTTGAAACATTTTACTTGTTATCTAAGTTTTGTGATTTAATAAATAACTTTTAAAAAATCTAATATTATCTAATCAAATAATAAAAAATTAAAAAGAATCCTTTAAGCTAAATAATGTAAAACCACATCATCATTTTCAATGATACATAAACTGGATATGATAAGAATAAACGCTGATTTAAGATAAAATACAGATATAAAAAAAAATAAATTGTAACAACAATAATGATATTGAATATATTTGATGTTTGTCTAAATAAATGGAGCGATATTTCAACAGAAGTAAAATAAAAAACAACTGGAAACTGAAAATTGATCTTAATGATTCTAAAAAGTATGTTAAAAAGTATTGAAGGTAATGAATTGCGAGAAAGTCAAATAAACAAATACAAAAGACTATATAAACCATGTATTCAAAGAATATCGAGTATCTAAAAAATGTGAAAAAAAATATGTACTTATACTTATTGCCTTAATTAACGGCGGATTTATTCTTGTCAAATAAATTCTTTTATTTAATAACATTATATATAAACTTGAGAGTGATATAATAAAATATTGTAATTCAACCAAAAATATCCTTTGCAACTAAATCATGGTTTTGACTTACTTAATCTATCCGACATCGAAATTAGACTGCTTGATCATAGACCTCTATAATATCTGACTGAACTATTATAAAAAATAGTTATGCTCATATTTCACAACATTTTAAATAACAGTATCTTAGTATTTTATTCAATTTTGATATTAAAAAATGACAATGTCTTCTCATTGTATTATAAATACGAGTTCTTACAAAACGTTGTTATCTGATACATAAAAATATGTTATAAAATAGACGAAGAAAATTATTTTTTAAATGCTCTCTATCACTTCAGAGCGTCCTTCATTCAAATATAATTATAAACACAATGCGGGATTAAATAATATGTATCGAAAAAATGAGTTTTATAAAAATGAAAACGAGAAGAGAAAAAAGTCAGAGAAAACTTGTAAACTATACTGTAATGTTGAAAGAAATTATCTTCTACGTTTGTATTACATAATTCAAGCTATACAAACAAAGATTAAAACTTAACTCGTATTACCATTGTGGTATCAAGCTATACATTACGTTCTGTCAAGATTGAAATTTAAATTGCGCTCGCAGTAGGTGAAGTACGAGTATCGTCAATGATAGTGATTAAATAGGAAAAGAACACTGCTAATATATCATCGTATCTGAAATCTAAGAAAAATGTCCGAAAGAAAATTAGGTAAGAACATTTAAACGTATGAAAATAACAACGATGAACTTTAAATTTATTTATTAGCTACTTCTATAAAGGACTATCGAGTCCGTTGTAAAATCTCTGTGTACTAATTTGTGCAGATGCATGCAAAGTACCGGTTGCATGTAAAAAAATCATGATCATGTCTTATATGTTAAATTAATTTATAGAAACTAATGAAGTGCAAATGATAAAGCTTCTGTACTTTGGCACATTATATAATCAATATTTTTATTGTCAAATTACTGATTGGATTTATGCTAATATAACCTATAAAGTAACTAATATATTACATGTGACGATAAAATTATTTAAAATTACAAAACATAGATTATGATTAGATAAAAAGTGTGTTAAAATTAAAATTATATATCTATAGTTATATAACTACAGTTTTTATTTATTTATAAATCTGATAATTAATATGAGCTCTGTACTATCCTTCAATTTTTAAATATTTTTAATGGACATGTACATGCAAATGCAATTAATATATTGCGCAATATTTATAACATTATACTTTATTTATCTCCTTTTTGATATCATAATTTAAAGTCTAATTTAAAAGACATTTATAGATTTGTATACTTAATATCAATCAAAAATGTTGTATGCATTATTATACTTATATAATTTATAAAAATATATTGAAAATAAAAAAAAAATAATAATTGATATAATAAATTATTTAACTCAATTACATAAGTGAAAATTATGTTTTAATAGTCGAAAATTATAATATAAAATAAAATGAATAGTATTGGAATATTAGTTAACTTTTATATATTATATTAAAGTAGCATATATTTGTAAATAACTATAAATATTTATTAAATATATGCTTCTACATTCCATAGACATATATTTATAAATAATCTACAGTTGTAAGGATTGTTGAAAAATTGAATTGAATTTAAGCCATTTTGTTTAAAAGTATATAAAAATATAATATTTTTATTTATGTTCTAGCTTTATTGAGTGTTTCCGATAAAACAAACATTTTAACTTTTGCAAAGAAGCTTGAAGAGTTTGGTTTTACAATTGTTGCATCAGGCGGCACAGGTAAAGCTTTGAGAGATTCAGGTATCAATGTTAATGATATAGCAGATATCACTGGTGTACCTGAGATACTTGGTGGTCGTGTGAAAACTTTACATCCCCTTATCCATGGTGGTAAATGATTAAATTATAATATCTTTGTTAATAAAAAAGGCTACAAATTAATTTTTATTTATTATTTAAATTAAGAAACTGTAACAATTTAAATTTATCTATAAAATAATTTAATTTTTTTGTCTTCTTAAGTAATTATTATTACTTACATTCCATATTCCATTAAAAAAACATTGAATTATAAAAAATTTAGACAATAATTAATATTTAATAAAATACTTAATACAATGGTAGTTTATACATTGAACTACTAAGATTTTCATTAAATGTGTGAGCATAAATAAATGTAAAAATACCAATTCTTTTTTATTTTGAATAATAAATTTTTTTATATTTTTTTCAGGTATTTTGGCCAGATTAACAGAATCTGATAAAGAAGATCTTAAAAAACAGAATTTTGAATATATCTATATTGTTGTTTGCAACCTGTATCCATTTGTTGACATTATTTCCAATCCAGATGTAACTATAGATGATGCAGTGGAGAACATAGACATAGGAGGAGTGACTTTATTGAGAGCTGCTGCCAAAAATCACTCGAGAGTAACAGTTATCTGTGACCCCAACGATTATGAAAAGGTTATCACAGAATTAGAAAGTTCACCAACCAATGATGTATCATTGCAAACAAGGTAAATTAAATATTTAATTTGTAAATCTCCATATTTAATTATCGGCATTAAACAATAATGTATAATGGCCAAATATTTTAGTTACCAAATGATTGTTTACGATAGTTTTCAAATAAATTATTGTTAAAAGACTAAATATTGTAGGCAGAACTTAGCAGTTAAAGCTTTCACGCATACGGCACAGTACGACGATGTCATTTCGAATTACTTCCGCCGCCAATACAGGACCAATATATCACAGCTCACCTTACGTTACGGTATGAATCCATACCAAAAACCAGCCCAGATCTTTACAGTGCTTGACAATCTTCCAATCAAAGTAGTAAACGGTTCACCCAGCTTCATAAATCTTTGCGACGCACTTAATGGGTATCAGTTAGTGAAGGATCTTAAACTCGCCTTGGGACTTCCGGCAGCAACTTCGTTCAAACATGTTAGTCCTGCAGGAGCCGCCGTTGGAATTGCCCTCAACGACATCCAGGCCAAATTATGTCAAGTACTTGCCTCCACTTGTTTTACGTTTGTTACACATTGAAAACAATTTTCACTTTATTTTCAAACCTTTTAACGTACCGCTATCAATGTTCATCCGTACAAATATGTGTAAATGCATTTGTGTGTGTGTGTGTATATTGTAGTATGCGCGTTGTTGCTGACTTATCATGACATATGTGTGTTTACAGCAGAATATAACATTCGGTTTCAAAAAGCATAGCGAGTAAATACAAATTTTTAATAGGTGGATGACATTGCTGATAAACTCACGCCACTTGCGGTGGCTTATGCAAGAGCGCGTGGAGCTGACAGGATGTCCAGCTTTGGAGATTTCATTGCTCTATCCAATCCCTGTGACGCTATCACCGCCAAAATTATTTCAAGGTTTGTACCTTTCTAAAATGCGTTTCAAAATTGTCACGTTTAATTTCAAATTACTCAAAAATTCTCATAATACATCATACACGTCAATGAATGAATGAACAAAGCTCATATTATCAATCCTTATTTTGTAATTGCTGTTGTCAATACGTGTTTTTATAAATTAATATATTATACTAACGATAACGTCGTATTTTGAAATGCTATTGAATTTTTTTTTCACAAAATTTATGCACTAATGATGTAGGATTTTAAAATAATTTACACTTCCAATAATATCAGCAGTCATAAAAAAAAACTATCAAAACAACATCATAGTTTAGCTGGAGAATTATTTTAAATAGTTAACGTACGAGTACAATTATTAATAGAGAGGTGTCGGATGGAATTATTGCGCCAGGCTACAGCCAAGAAGCTCTCACATTGCTGCAAAAGAAAAAGAATGGTGGCTATTGCATACTCGACATTGACCCGAACTACGAACCTTCGAACATAGAACGAAAAATGATTTATGGACTGACGCTCGAACAGCAACGCAATAATGCCAAAATCGAACGGTCGACATTTAAGAATCTTCTGAGTCAGACAAAAGATCTACCGGATTTCGCTGTGAGAGACCTCATTGTGGCCACCATTGCCGTCAAGTACACCCAGAGTAACTCCGTATGCTATGCCAAGGATGGACAGGTTATCGGCATCGGAGCTGGACAACAGTCGAGAATACATTGCACCAGACTTGCAGGGAACAAGGCAGATAATTGGTACAATGATAAGCAATTAAAAATCAATTGGCATATGTTCGCTACATTTGTGAGAAGTCTTACTAATATTTTAATGATGTGCGCGAGCAAGGCAATAGTTACAAATGATGTCTCAATTTAATTGATAAAAATTTATTATTAAGATTATTATAAGTTAAAAATGTAATGAAATTTGGTGAAATATAACTTATGAATTTGCAGAGCTTATAATTATATTATGGCGTAGTCTTTAAAAAAAAATCGATAATTATCAAAGTAATATATTTTTTAATGTTTGAAATCTTATATACACTTGTAACTTTTAACTGCTCTTTATTATACATTTTAACCCATTTAACTTTAAGTTTCATCGAATGCTAATAAACTATTGAAATTCTCTAAGATATAAATTAAGTGCACATTATCACACTTGTACAGGTGGTTACGTCAGCATCCGAATGTAATTAATATGAAGTTCAAAAAAGGTGTAAAGAGAGCTGAAATATCGAATGCGATAGATAATTATGTGAATGATACAGTTGGTCGAGATATGCCTGAAAGCGCATGGGCAGCTTTATATGAAATTGTACCGGAAAAGCTTAGCGAAACCGATAAGGACGAATGGATAAAAAAACTTAATAATGTCGCCCTCAGTAGCGATGCTTTTTTCCCTTTCCGTGATAATATTGATAGAGCGAAGTTGGTAAGTATATTTCGATTTGTTTCAAGGCAAATATACAATTTTATATTTACTATTTTCTCATAGATTCATCTTGAAATTTTCTTTTGATTTATTTCAAATTATAATGTTTTTTTTTATGGTTACTTTTTAATTTGAAATATAAATGCTTACATGTGGAGTTGGATTGAAAACTGGTTAATATGATAAAAGCAAACAATTTAAAACTAATTTATACTTGTGTACATATCTTATAAACTTGAATATAATTTATTTCAACGTTTATAATTTCTTTTAAAGTTCAAAGTATATATTACGAAATATTTAATTGGACATTATTTATTATTATATATATTACATTTATAAAAAATGGTTTATAAAATATATTTATTAAAATGCGCTCTGTATATGTTTATCGTACATTTATTTTCATTCATTATAGACATTTGAGTCTCTTGTGCGCTTATTCTGCGAATAAAAGTTGCACCACCGACTTTTGTATAATCAAAAAAATGAATGATTTCAATTATATTGGTAGAGATGGTAGGTGAAAAAAAATTTTCGTTTTAAAAAATTTGAATTTAAAAAATTAAAAAAAAAAATTTTTTGTATGTAATTGACTGTAAAAAAATAATAGATAATAATAATAAAAACTAAAAAATAATAAATCAGAATAAAATAATAATTAGTTTATTTATGGGTATGAGCACCGTATCTTAATTAATCTTAAATAAAACTGGTATAATTACATTTTACAAAATTTAATATATCAGGGTCACCAAATTTTAAGTAAAAAGATACAGCGGATTAATATGCATACAAAATTAAAAAAAAAAAATATATTTTTAATAATAAACGGTTATACTTATATTATATAAATTAAAATTTTTAATAATGCATGTCGTCCGCGTTTTAGCAAAGTAATTCAAGTATAATTAGAAATTTACTTAATAACATAAATATTATTTATGATTAATATTTAGAAATACTTTATAGATAAAACTTATTATAGCAGTGCCCAATTGTATTTCTTGCAATATAATTATTTTCATCTATTTCTATACGTATAAATTACATTAATAAATTAGTTATATTATTATATTGTTTTGTTTTGTTATTAATGTTATAATTAAATATTTAACTTGTTTTTTTTAGCTCATTATCAAACTATATAAATATGTTTATAGAGTGGAGTACGCTATATTGGAGCACCTTCTGGTTCAACAAATGATGAATCTGTGATACAAGCTTGCAACGAACACGATATTGTCTGGGCGGATACTGGCATAAGGCTGTTCCATCATTAAATAAAACGAAAAAAATTATTTTTATATAATTTTTTAAATATTTCCATAACGATACAGCATATTAATATAACTATTTTTGTATGGTTATTTTTAAAATAAATTAGTTATTTTACATTATATTTTTCTTAATTTTATAAGATTGCCAATAAATTATAATAATTATTGTTGATTAAATTTATATTACAATTATATCCATTAAAATGCCAGATGTAATTCATAGTTATAGGTTTATTATATGATTATGATAGAATATAAAGAAAGAAAAAAAGGCAGAAAATAAAACACTCTAAAAATGATTCTTTAATAATAAATATGAACGCTTTATTTAAAATATTTTCTATAAAATAACTATTTGATGACATTATAGTGTGTAGTAACTTAAATTAAAGTACCAAAATCTTTAAAATGCTGTGCCTTTATAATTAATTAAACTTATAAAATGCGCCTTTAAATCGAAGGGATTGTTTTGTATGATATTATGATGAACGTTTAAATTTTGATAAATTTTGGTAGGAAAACATCATTTATTCATAATAATACCCGCATTTAAAATCAGCTTAATAGTTTTGAGAGAAACATTTTGAAAATAAGAAAATAAAATTACAATTAAAAACAAAGAATTAAAAGATGGCACATAAACACCTTAAATACTTTGTATAATTACATTAATTACAAAATAAACCGATAAGTCGAACACCAATTTTATCTTTAGTTCATTTTGCATATTCTACGGCTATCGTATTTACTTAATTATAAATATGTATGCACACACGCGCGTATTGATTACCTACATTCAAATTTTTCATACAGATAATTTTATACATTAAATGCAATAAAAATAATTATTAATTTATTCTTATGAATAAAAAAATTGAGGTCTTTGTATCGAACTTTAAATTTACTAGTAAACTTTGTATCGAAATAAAATAAATACAATTTTTTAATTTAATATAATAACCAATGAATGTATAATTATTAAGAAATATTTATTGGAATAATTTAGAATTGCCATTAACATTTCTAAAAGTTGGAACAAAAAATAAGTATGTGTAGATCCCTCCTTGTCGTTCAATATGACTTGATATTTGCACTTACACTTTGAAATTAAATAACAGTTTTTCTCAACGATACTTGAATATTGGTAAACAATGCTTATTCATAGAAAAATGTATATATAGAGAATAGTTAATAAATGTTTTTTTTTTAAATATTTTATGCAAGATTATACGCTTATCATTAATCCATGAGCTCTCAATTTTATTAATATTGATATATATATATATATATATATATATATATATTATGTATATATTATTACATACGGTATATGTATTGATTTAAAATGAATAAGTATTTGTGAACAACTATTGAACATTTATTTTGTATTTATATTATAATAAAAACTAACTGAATTAATTTGTCTTATCACTGCCATTATGTTCCGCCTGATTGTCATTGAATACATTTCAAAGTATTTGAGTTCCGAAAAATCTTTTATTTAAAATAAATTTACAATTTATCTGCAATTTAAAAAATATTGACTTGCTGATTCATGCGTCACCATAAATGCGTGTGTAGAAAACTTTTGGTATGTTAAAGTAACCGAATTGAAATTGTTAAGCGGTTAAATATTATTTATTGGAAAATAATTTTAATTATAATTTTATTAAGATTTTTAAATGTTAACGAATCAATAACTGCTAGTTTGTTGATTATCAACGATTCTGAATAATTCATAGTCATCTGATGGAACAAGATTGAAATGTTTGTAGTGATCGATGTTTCGTTTTCTGTGTTCAGACCAGATTTTAAAACCTAATTTATAAAATGCAGGAAGATTTTCAAAGCCACCAGCTTTTGCCAAATAGTCATTATATGCCCACTGATCAAATCCTAATTTGTGCGCGTGATTTTTCTTAAACGATTTTAACTTTGAGTCATCCAGCATCTTTGACATATTGGGTAGCTGAGCTTTACCTTTCAGGAGAGATAGAAAATACTGCACCTGTAAATAAATGTCTTGTTAGTTTATTTCATCTTTTCCAACGTTATTTTAGAGAATAATTATTTGAAATTAATTTGGTTTTTCGGTAACATAAATAACAATTACACATTTTAAAGAACTCAATGAAAGTTCTTCAAACTATCAAATAAACATTTCAAATTCATCTACACTGTGCATTATAATTTTCTTTAGAATTAATTATTATAAACCAATAATTGTCAGTAGATGTACGAGGCATTTTTATTCTACATTAATTTTTAAACTATTATGATCTGAAAGGATGGTAATAATGTTAAAATTATAAAGACTGTTTCCAGAACTTCGAGTTATATTTCTTATTCTAACAGCTAAAAAATTAAACAAAAATGATTGACCATTCTAAATTTATTATCTGTCAATATATCAAATAAATAAAAATGAAATTAATTAAAATTACGCACAGTAATTTAAAAAATAGGTACCTGCATGTGAAACATTGGAAAAGGAATAACGTGTGTGGGAATGCCAATGAAACACATTGTTGGATGTTCAATGTTGATCAAATGTTTATAAAGCGGTGTAACATAATTTTCATCGACTTTAATTTTGCAATTTTTATCCATAAATGCATACTTGTAATGATAACCTGTGCAATATATGAGAATATCTGCTTTCACAGTCGAACCATCTTTCAAAACAAATTTTTCATTCTCGAATTTATCAATGCCAACAACTTCCGTAATTTTTGAAGAATCATCATTTAAATTTAATAACCTACACACAACATATTAATATTCTTACAAAAATTATATAGTTCAGGTTTCTTTTATACTTACATATACATACCTTTATAATAATAAGTACATTAGCCTATTTTACATTTATTAATTTTATAAATAAGTTTATATTTAAAATTAAAATATTATTATAAATCTTTTTATATTGGTATATTCTTAAAAATTTATTTTTTCTATTTACACTACTATTATTAATCACTGTTAAGATCATTAAGATAATTACTTACCTATTCATATTGTGACTTAAGAAAATACGAGATGATTTTTCGGATAAATCAAATGCAATATCAATGCCAGAACTTGATGCTCCTAGTATAATTACTGTTTGATCCGTATAATTTTCTGGATACCTGTAATTATGACTATGAAGTACTTGCCCACAAAAATTATTTATGCCGGAAATATGTGGAATGATTGGATCAAAATAATGCCTATATTTAAATAAACAATCAAAAGTTAAAAAATCGTATTAAACAAAGAGCGTTATTAAGTAACTTACATAATACAAAAATACTATAATATATTGATTGTTAATTAAACTTGAATCAAAAATACAAAAAAATTGAGTAAATTATTAAATTATTAATATAAAATTTCTAACAAGTATTATAATAAACAATCGATGGATTATATATATTATTGTATATTCCTATTAGAATTAAACAAGTTATTACTTAAAAGAAAAATTTCATTCAATTAGCAATTAAATATTCTATTTACCCGTTGCAAATCATTACTGCATCAAATATATATTCCTTCAATTCTGAAGATATAAGATTTTTCACTTTTACTTTCCAATTTTGCAATAGAAAATCATTTGTAAATATTTTTGGTGTAATAAATAGTACTTCTGTATTAAACTAAAGCATTGACTAATTAAATTCAATTTATTAATAATTTATTTAATTATTTAATCATTTAAATTATTACTTGTATAAATTCACGTAGTTTAAAGTGTTCTGTATAATTTTTTAGGTAATCCAAAATAACGTCATGAGGTACGCAGCTTTCATTATTTCCTTTAATTTCTTGAAAATCCGGGAAATGCATAATTTCTTTTGGCAAATTAGTCCTAAATTTTTTATATCGTTAAAAATCATTCATTATTCGAAAAGTATTTTCGTTTCTATTTTTGTATGAATATCTTTATAAAATAAACTGACTTGTTCAATTTATACACTACAATCTTATTTTATTTTTTTAATATTAATTTTTAAATATTATTTTACAATTTTTCAATTATTTTTTTTTATTTATTTTTCAATTAACAAAAATTTTATTCTACTAAATTCTTATATTACCAAATATAATAAATAATGTAGAATAAAAATTTGCTATAATTAATTTTGGAATTCGCGCGAGAACGCATGATTTTTCGAAACACTGTAGATCAATAATCCATATTATTAATTTTGCATACTTAAATTGGGAAAACATTTAAAACAATACTATACCTGAGGTTTTTATACATGCTAGTGTGAATGGGAAGACCATTGTTCTCAAAACCAATTTTATCCGTATAAACCCACGTACCTCCAACATCCGACGCTTTCTCAAAGACTTGAAAAATAAATTGTTTTGAGTTTTGTGCTAAATGTCTAGCAGCACATAATCCAGCCGCACCAGCTCCGATCACACAAACTCTTGTTTTTATTATTTCCATTTGATCTTTCATAATGTTTGCCAACATTTTGAAGGTAAATGAGATTCATGCAACCTTTAATGGCAATAAAAAATCTGTACGACAAAATAGCTGAAGTGTTCAGGTTAAGGCTCTGCCGTTTTGATGTAATACTGAAGACATTAAATGAAATAGCAAATAAAAATGATTTTTTATCACACACACACACACACACACACACACACACACACACACACATATATATATATGTTCGATTTTAAAGGGTTAGCTTATGGCTCGAACTGCCAATTCAATAGTTCAGTGGATTAGTCTCTCGGCAGGATAATTTTAAAGGAAAACAATAACAGACAAGGCTGAAAAATATAATATATTTATTAAAACAAGGTTAATGATTGTAAAACAATTATAATAATATTGCACTGTTGTGTAGAGATAAATAATTCTGTTGGATTATTCAAATGTTGTGTTCTTGTAATTCTTATGCTATGAAGGCTTCTATGGATATTACTGTGTTGCTTTGAGGTTATGCTGATGTTGTCAATGTCAGCTGATGTCGTCAGTCAATCATGCTTGTGAGGCAGCATGAGAAGATGGTAGTTGAATCAAGTATGCTTGATTGATGAATAGCTATACTTGATGTGGTGTCAGATCTTAAATGGAATTTATTATGTAATCGATTATGTCTTTGATTATGTACAA